TGATCTAGGACGGAGCTCGTGTCACTCTTTAATGTCTCGTGCAGTATCTTGTGAAGCACCTTCAGTTTACCATATTAATCTGTTTGTTTTGTTTTTCATTACGAATGTTGGTATTTTGTGACAACATCCGTCACAGGTTTTTACCTTATCTCTGTTTTTTTAGTTGACTTAACTGTCTGAGAATATCAGTGATTAAGTATCTTTAGAATCCTTGGAAATTGTACTCACTGTTGATCCTTTTCATTATTCAATGGTTTACTACTAAGACGAAGTCAGTCTGAATCTAACCTGGTTTTCAAAAGTTAGGCACCTAAACCTTAGCCAAATATCTGTATAATTTAATTTGCATTAAGTTTATTGACACCATTATAGATTAGAATAGAATGTTGGCCAAACTGTTCTGTTGGCCATTCTTATGCATTTATCGTGTACATGTACTAGATACTTAATGGTTAGTAAAATGATAATTAAATGATAAAGTAAGGTCTATCTAAACAATAATAATAGTTAGCTTACTGTACATCAGTTAATAACCATACAATGACGAATGTCAGTCATACTTGCCATTTTGTTCAGTTTACTCAAATGTATGACACGAACAAATAGCAAAAAACGCCACCTACACATTCGTGGAATGAATCGAGAATATATGGTTGCTATATCTGTCATTGAGAATTTCGTTTAAATCTTTTGATCTGATTTTTTCTATCTAGATTCTACCGAACAATAAAGAAGGTTGTTATAAATTATCACCTGATCGATTTTACTTCGTTATGCTACCACATTGCGCTCCAGCTCTTCTAAATAATTTACTGTTTACTAATTGGTCGCCTAGTATACTTTCCCGTGTGGTACTGTTCTCTAATGGATGGAAAGAGGCTCGCCAGGAGTTAATTGCTTCAGGTGCTTCAGATGGTCTGAAGATTGCTAAGGAACTAGCTTATATTACTGCTTTGGAGTCAGTGGTTCACAGTCCTGGCAAAGAACATTATCTACTTTGGTCTTCAAGAAATAAACTCAGGGAATACAGAGATTTTGAGGGTATGCGTGTGCAATGTTTTTCTCCTGTTGAAATGGATAGTTTACCAAAGAATGTATGGAATATACCTCCTTATTCTGAAAAAACAGATAAAGAAATATCCTGTTTTAGTAAATTAACACAAAATAGTGGGATTTTTTCCGATATAATTGATGCTAATGTTGTACCAAATTTTATCGATTCCAACACTGATGGCTAAGGATTTGTTCAAATTTTCCAAAATTAGTAATGGTATTATCTTTCACCTTTTTCCTAATGATCTTCAGACTCATGAAGTAAATCCATCCTTATTTGCTGTTTATTTATGTACATTGTGATTTTACACTGCATTCCCATAGTACGCTTAATTACTGTACATATTTTAGTCTTTTTTGTAAATGGAATATTATTCTCCATACTGAGTGAATTTGAGTTTCAACTTTAATTACTAATTTGAGTGATTTTTTTCTTTTTGAGAGTTAAAACATACCTGTCTTGCCATTGCAAAAAAAGTGAGGACTAATTGCCTAAGAATATTCTTTTTTTTTGCAAGACCAATTAGTAAAGCTGTACATTCGTATTAATAGTTATTTGGCAGGTAAAGTTTTTATTTATTTTAACACAGCGTTGGTAAAGAAGGTACCAAATATATATGCTCCATACAATATAAATGAGGTTGTGCATAGATAATGGAGGGTATGATAAGAAGAAGGGCAATAATGAACAGAAATGTGTGAGAGTGAAATAATAATGGGCGAAACAGTTCAGTTAGGAGAAATACAACCAGAAAGAATCCTTTCAGTTAAAGAAGTTACATCCACTTTCATGATGAAAGTGGAAGAAAGTTAGCAGGATAGCCACTGGTTTCTATTCTGAGCTATGTCTTATAACATCTCAAGCGATTGTTATACCATCTCAAGGACCCCGACCAAGGAGTCGTGGTATAGTAGTTTATTATAAGATAGACAAAGACATTTTCCAAAAATTTCAAACATGAGAAAGAAGTTGAGCAGTAATTTAGAAGGTATCAGAAATTGTTGAGCGGGAATCATCTGTTGATGAGAAGAATTCGAGTTAATTATCCTCTTGACGAATATAAAGGTAAAAGGGAAACAAACCGGTATTAATAATGAATTATCGAGTAGAAAAGGGATTTTGGAAAACATGATTCAATTACAGGTCCGACTTGAGGCTTTTAAACTAAGTTCGTATTTGATTTTTTTAAAATTGCTATACATCTTTTGCTGTACACAATCCCCTATTTCATTTTTTGTTTCGTGTTACTACGCGACCGAAATTGGTATGTTTCGGAATTGGTATACTAGTTGACTTGAATCTCCTATTTAATTTCTACGGTGAGAAACACTCAAAGGTATGGTTAAAAATGTGAGTTTAGTGCGCTTATGTTGAGGGAGTTGTTTCTCAACTGTGAGTCAAACTATTGTTGTCCGTGTCATAAAATCCACCATAGACTCGGTGGATATAAATGTATGTAACTTGTATGGAATGATCTATACTTCTGTTGAATACGGTTATTGTTCATATATTATTGTCAATTAATCGGTCAGACAAGCCTTTCAGTAGTCACGCGAAACTTAGGTAATAATAGGTAGTTGCTGGATTCACTTAACTATGTCAATGTAATTAGCTGAACATTACATATTGTATCTAAACGACCATAGGGTTTTTGAGCGTTCCTTCTGAGTTTATATCACTTCATTGAGATTAAATGATTTGCAGCTATTTTGAGAATTAGGGGAATTTCGGTTTGCTAATTTTTGTGATATTATTTACTTATCTGATAGTAACCGAAATTTATTTCCGCAAAATGAAAGTCTGATTAGTGTCCCATCACTGCCTTATCCTACAGGTCAAGGTCCCACTGATATAACGCTACATTCGAAAATACCTGTGATGTCACACGCACTACTTTCTAGTCTAACAAGGTAACATAAGTAATTAAAGTTCTCGGTTTACATATCACGTCATAGAAATCATATTGTGTCAGATACTCATCGTTTTAGGAAAAAATATCTTGAAATCTAGTTATTTAGGTATGTACACCATCTTTTTGTTAAACACTATTCACAGGAGCCTTAGTATAGGCTTGTATTCAAAAGATTGAGCAATGCAAATTCGATTTCCTTTCGTTGATGTATATGCATCTTATTGGAAATAAAAACTCTTGAATAAAAGTGCGATCAAATGTACACGGTAAAGCAGTTTTCGTGAGCAATACAGGAGACAAAGCGATGTGGAATTCAGTACAACATTCAGCATAATCACACGGATAAGACAGAAGAGATAAGAGAAATACTATAAGGCACCTAAGTTCTATAGCAACTCTAAACCATGTAATCTCGAAGGTCCTAATTAGACCCTACAATCTACATTATTTGGTTCCTGGGTGGTGTTCGATGTCACTGTTGAGTCTATCGACCTACTTTATAGTGTAACCACTATGTTAGGTGGTTTATTGTCGCATTGTACTTTGTTTTATGTTTAGTAGCTAGAAGCAGTCAACAAGAGTAAGTGAAATCAGTCTTCGTACTGGTTGAAACTCATCATCGAGGTGTATTCTCGATCCTAAAGAAAGTGGTACTCTGCCAGTGCTGCAGTTAGAAGCCACCACAGCTATTCGCGGTACGAACTTCGTCAATGCAATTTTGTTGTAGTCGAGAGTTATGGAATATGGTACTGAGTGGCTGGTTGGTGAGTCATCTCAGTACTAACTTGAGCTCAGTTATCGCCCTGGTACGGCTGAGAGTGGGGAGAGTACACTCTCCCTCTCGAAATGCTCTCACATGGCCACGCGTATACAGCCTCTTTCAGGCTCGGGGTGTGGCCCCCTAAGAAAACCACCTGCTTCGGTTTGGGCACCCGGGCAGTATCACAGCCCTCACACATGTCGAATGAGATTTGTGTGACGCATATGTATTTGGTGCCCTCTTGTACCAATATCCATGTGTTAAAATAAAATAAATATATCAGTGATAATGGTCTCTAGGTTCTGTTTCTATTATTTCCAGAAGGATCCAGTTTTTTTAGTGTTGATGCACCTTAGCGATCAGCGACGATCATCATAAAACCTTATTTTAGGTCTGCTGTTTGATTACTTTTAATCCCCTGTTATAACTCTTGTTTCTTATACGGTTAATGACCCAGCTACTCCTATTGCTTAGTATTCTCGGACACCGATTCACTCGACAAGTCCCCAAATCAAAACACGGTTGAACAGGAAAAAGATTATATTCCAAATAGCAAGTCAGAAGCACAATGGGGGAAAATGTCGGTATATTTATAGTTTTTACATAAGAGGATTCCAGAATATTCTCCGACTATCGACTGGTGCTGATTGGATAAGAATCAGCCAATCAGCGTGCACCAAAACAATCATGCATTGAGCATGCTTTAATCTAGTCTATGTCCCGCTAACACCACCCAACAACACAAGGTAAAATAAAACTGTGGAGCAGTGTCTTGGTGCCTAATGGATTCAACTTCCAGTCACAATTCTCAGGTTCTAACCTCTATCTACTTCACCTTGAACGTCCGGGTACTAAAATTAGCGCTCACACTTAGAGTGTACCAATTACCTGACGAATGGGCTTGTTGGAAAAACGCTATTACTAACAAATTGATGTTTTCACTGATTACTCTGTATTAAGGCAAGAAAATTTCAATACTATATCGCTTTTTGTGCTTATGTATTTGTTTTTGTGAGTAGCACAATTACATACATGAAAACTAACTAAATTCTAGCTTGATTCCAATATAAAATTGAATTAGTGTGGGTTTATAATTGGAGTTAATAATAATGAGTTGGATAATAATGAGATGTATATGATAAGGATTTGACATCAGAACAGAACGTAAACTGGTTCTGAATGTCGGTTTAACAATGTTGTCTGTAAGTAGAATGAATCAATTGCTTAACTTAATTTGTACTTTAACTGATCGACAAAATGGTCGAATCAAGTATTTAACTGACATCATCGTAACTTCCAGTATCCAATAGTGTTTCCATTGTTTGTATTGATAGCTTTTGCATGATTTGGTGCAATTGATAATTGAACCATTCCAATTTTTTGTAGATTATATTCAGTCTAAATTATAGAAAATAAATAACTGGCAAAAATTTAATTCCAATGACTTTTTTAATTGAGATGTGCAATTGTCATTTAAAAAATATTTACTTACATTTAAACCTGAATTGTTCTATTCCACTTAATAGTTTATACTATGAGTGTACAAACTTGAATTAGTTAGTGAATTAAGCTTCTGACTGTTGTTTGCCAGCATGTCAAGTTACCTTACTGTCACTAGTATAAATTCTTGGACAAGTAATGCATTAGATCCCAATGTTTATTAATCAGGTTTATTTAAGTGATATATTTACCCCGAAATAAGTCTAAATTTCATTAATTTTACCGCCCTGAATCAGTGCATCATGTGAAATATAGAAGCTAGCGCAAGTACACATCGATCCACGTCACTTTTCAAATGAGGATAGCAAGCGTAAGATAGTAAAATTATAACGGAATGGAATACACAAGTGTCGATTATATTAGAAAAAAAAACAGTTTGGGAAGAGCGAATTAAATTGAGGAATGAGAATTCTAATTTAACAGTAAAACTTAATACTTAAAATAAGATAAGGAGATGATGAGTCTACACTTTGAGTGATTTTGATCTATATCATTTAGTGTTGCCTACCAAAGGGATACGTTCAGTGATCCTACACTTTCGAAAACGAATAGGACCAATAACTCTATAAACTGGTGGTACGCTTTGGTCTAGTCCTCTTTAGCCTTTTCACATTATCTCCCTATGCTAGAATTATCATCCTAAGTTTAAGCGAATAAAATATAGATAATGACCGTCTTGAAATATTAAAAGTATTCTAGAGGCATAAAAAAAAACACTTTACTACGTACCGTTGATTTAAAAGTTCGACAGTTTTGTTTAGTTCTTGTCTAGAACGCTCATACTTTTAATAAATTAAAATAAAAAGTAGAATTATTTGGTTATCTGATTTATCGTAAAAAGATCTTTACTAATGGTAATATTAATACTAATAATATTAGGAAAGATAATCATTGTCTAGTTGATTTTACTTAAGTTAGTTTACTCTGAAGACACTTTTTGTCATGAAGTGATGTAAGCTAAAAGGCCATTGAAAATCAGGCAGGACCGTTTGAACGTGTCATCCTAGCTTGGTATTTCTTCCTGGTATGCAGCCGTAATCCCGATAGGGATGTTTGGGTCGTATATTTGCAAGTACTTTAGTTCTAAATCCTCTCATGAATAGAAAACCAATTATATCGCCTCAAACTTGGATGATAAGTCCAAGAAGTTTGATATGAGAATTGGATAGAAAGAGGCGGGACTATTTATGAGACTTAGTCAGTATAAATACTTAGTGACATAAATGTTATTTTAAGGGCATTTATTCAGTTGAAAAGTGAATCAGTCAAGTGTCAGACTTGTTCTTTTCAAGCTGAGTTAGCACAAAAATTACTATGGTTGATTAGCAAATTACTGAATACATCGTTTAAAAAGTTTTACTAATTAAAATCTATTAAAACGAATATCTACTAGCTGGAAGTATCTTTGTTTAAAAAAAACTTCTTGAAAGAGACGAAAATTGAATTACTCTTGGTACATTTGGTCTAGCTGGTTTCAATAACCATTTTTGAACACAAATTTTAGCGTATAACCAACGTGGGAGATTCGCTTCTAAACTATCTAACCAGTAAACTTGTCGATAAATTAGTTCTTGTGTCGCACTTCTTCTAGCCTTGTCAATATCACCAACTGCTAAACCAATCTAACAAGTACAATAAAGAGACATAAAAGAAACAAAAAAAAACGATACAATAAGTAGATCATTAAAATAACTTTTTAATATTACTGTTGATTTATTAGTAGTATTGTTTAAAACAAGTATTAAACAAAGACTGATCTACTAGGTTCATCATGTTAAACTATGTAGAATTTAACATGTTTAGTCCTTCTAATAAGTCTAAAGGTTGCAGTGAGTAGATGAGATATGTCATGACTACAGAATACGTAGATTCCTTTTGAATAACTTGTCTGATGGTTGCTCGTAAACTTGTTAAGATATTTGTGTGAAAGGCGAAACGGTAAGTTAAGATGAGTGATCTAATAAATACTTACGTAGTGTTTATGAAAAGTTGGTATAATGAAGAATATGTGAGGATTTTAGTAATGTCTCAATTCTAATTATTAGTTTATGACTTAAGAAATCTGATTCCCATTAACCCTTAGTGGATCTTAATCAGCCTTTGGAATGTTTAGATTATGACTGTACAAATAATGAGGACAATGTTTAGCTTGACTTGTAAGTGCTTGTTAAACTGATATAGGCTTTATAAACAACTGGCTTTGAGACACTGCCTTTTAAACCATAGTTATCAGTAAAGAGAACGTTGACATTATTAGTAACATATCGAGATTATTACACTATATCGCCAATTGACAGTGTATGTAAACAATTGTATTCTCACTCAATGAACTAAAGTTATTGTACTCGTGGATGGTGTTAGAGATACCAGTTTCAATTTTGTGTCAGGTCAGTTGTATGAATTGCTGAGAAGTACTAAAGTAGAATGAAATCGTGGCCTAATGCTTAGTGGTTTTCAAAATTTCTCCAGTTAATTTCAGTTTGTAATGAAAACTACTCTCATAAGAATACTTATCATTTTAATTTTATATAGTTACTTACGCCTGTTACTCCTCGTGGAGGAGCATAGGCTACCCACCAGCACTCTCCATCCATCTCTGTACTGGGCAATCTTTTCCAGTTGTTCATAGTTGATATTCAGAATTTTTATCTATGCTTCCGATTCCCGGTGCAGTGTGTTCTTCAGCCTTCCACTTTTCCGTTTCCCTTCACGATTCCAAGTTAGCACATGCCTCGTGATGCAGTTTGGTGATTTCCTCAATGTATTTCCTATCCACTTCCAACGTCTTTTCCTAATTTCCTATTCGTCAAGAAGTTGGTTCGTTCTCTCACACAGTAGATTGTTGCTGATGGTATCCGGTGAACGGACATTCAGTATCTTGCGTAGCAAATCATTTATGAATACTTGTACTTTTTTATTGATGATTGTAGTAGTTCTCCAAGTTTTATCTCTATACATTATGACTGTCTTGACGTTTGTATTGAATATTCTGACTTTGATGTTGTTTGACAGCTGTCCAATGCTTCTTTAGCTTAAGTTTTATCATGGCAACCACCAGGTGGTGATCTGAAGCTATGTCAGCTTCTCTCCTGGTTCTCATGTCTTCCATTGACCTTGTGAATCGTTTATTGATACAAATATGATCTATCTGGTGTGATCTGGTGAGACTCATGTAGCTGTGTGTGCGTTTGTGTGAGAATATTGAGCCACCTATAACCAAGTTGTTGAATGTACATAGGCTCGCGAATCCATCTGTGGTGTTTGAATGAACTAATGATTCCTTTGTACTTGTTGAGTGCTTGATTTCGAATTCCAAATACAGTAAATTCGTACGTGCTTATCTAGTACTTCTTGATCCGATTACGTTATTTCTGGGATTCTTAGTTCGTACTATGATTGAAATACTTCTAATCATCATAATATCCTCATTTTCGTTTTTCTCCGCCATTCAGTCCATTTCGTCCCGTAATATTCTCATATCTGGTGTTGTCCATCCCAACTTTGGCGTTCAGATCTCCCATCAGGATGGCGAGATCTTTTCTTGGGCACTTTGCTGTGATTGATTCCAGCTTCTTATAGTTTATTTATCAATTTGAACATATAAATATTGGTACGAGAGGGCACCAAATATATATGCGCCACACAAAACAATCAGAATGGTAAGAGAAGAAAGGACAAGGTAAGGAGCGTAAAAGAAAAAAAGAAGAACAATAACGGCCAGATTAGTGTAAGGTAGTGTAATAATATTAATAATAATGATAGTAATGATAATGATAATAATAATAACAATAATGGGGGAAACGGAAAGGTACAACCAGAAGAAACCTTTCAGTTAAGGGAGACACAACCACATTTTATGAAGAAAGTAAAAGGAGGTTACAGCAGAATCACCACTGGCTCCTATTCTGAGCCATATCTGATAACGTCTCTAGCCACTGTGTAGCACCATCTCTCGAACCCCAACCCGGGAGTCGTGAAGGACCAACAGAAGCCAGTCCTTTGCAGCTTTCTTTCATACCATGACACCATGTCATGCACTGACCACCTCTCCGCTTCTTCCAACCAGTCCCATAGTCGGCAAATAATACACGACGTAGAATTCTCTGGGATGACATTCGTAGAACATGTCCGAGCCACCGAAGTCGATGTTTCAAGATGGTAACACCAGTTGGATTATCATCTCTGTGACCGAAAACACGATGCCGAACCTCTGCATTACTGACATGGTGTTGCCACTGAATGTCAGCAATCCTTCGGAGACAACGAAGATCGAACACAGAGAGTCCTCTAACATCCTCAACTCGGAGAGGCCAGGTTTCACAAGCATAGAGCAAAACTGCTCTTACCGACGCGTTGTAGATCCAACCTTTTACAGCCAGACTAACATCATGAAGGCGCCAAGGGTGGCCTAGATTGGGATAAGCCGCTCTGGCTTTCACTATACGTGCATTAATCTCATCACTCACACCCCCACCAGCACTTATGCAGCTACCCAGATACACGAACTTCTCGACTACTTCTATCTGCTCACCATCCAGGGTGAGTACAGGATTAGAATCCTGCCAATGTTGTAGAAGTACTTTATCTCACAGTAAGACAATATCATCCGCATACTCAAGGTCGAGAAGTCTTTCTCCAGGCAACAGATCCATACCACCATTACTTACATTCATCAGAGCTGTTTCCAGAATGTCATCGACGGCAAAGTTGAAGAGAAATGGTGAGATTGGGCAACCCTGCCTAACCCCACTGCTCGAATGGAACAATGGAGAGAGGTGGTTGTATGCCCTTACTCTGCCTGAGGTGTTTGTATATAGGGCCTTTAGGATGTTAATAAACTTCTCAGGCACACCGTTCTTCAATAGACAATCCCAGAGAACAGTCCTATCCAACGAATCGAGGGCAGCCCTGATGTCGAAAAACACTGCGATTGTTGGCCTTTGAAAAGTATGGCGGTGTTCTAACATTTGGCGGAGGGTGAAGATATGATCAATACATCCTCGACCAGAACGAAACCCAGCCTGCTCCTCGCGAGTCAATCTTTCTCGGGTTTTGAACAATCTACGAAGTATGACGGAAGCCAATAGCTTGGGCGCAATCGGAAGTAGACTTATCCCCCGATAGTTGTTACAGGAACGACGTGAACCCTTTTTAAAGATAGGGACAACTATCGACTCCTTCTATGACGTTGGTACACTCTCTAGTTCCCAGACCTTTGCAAACAACGTCGTCAATTCCTTAGTCAGAAAGTCACCACCATCTTTAAAAAGAGCCGGAGGTAAGTCATCTGGGCGAGGTGATTTGTAACGCTTCAAGATTTGGAGTTCCTTGTGGACTTCCGCCCCATTCGGTGGATCAGTCGTCACCGGCCATGGAGGGCAGGACAGTCTGACCGATGTTGCCGAAGCAGCAGGCCAGTTGAACTGCCCTTCGAAGAATTCTGTCCATCGTCCAAGACGTCGACGGATGTTGGTGATTGGCATCCCATCATCCTTGCAGATTGTTTCGCTCACACCAGATTTCTTGCTGCCAGTGGCTCGGATGAGTTGGAAGAGCTTCCGGTAATTACCAGATGCAGCTGCCGCTTCCAGCTCATTAGCATACTCCGACCACCAAGCTTCTCGATCCTTACGCAAGCTTTGCCGGATTTCATTACGTAACATCCTTCGTTTGTGGTCAAACTCACGGTCACCCGGAGTAGACCGACGGGCTTCAATGAGTTGTAAGGAACCTGAGGAAACCCAGTGCTTATAAGCGGGACGTTTCGCGAACCCACAACTGACTGTACCCGCCATTTTCATGGCGTCATGCAATTGCAACCAATGCTCATCTATACTTTTCGGTGGAATGGTAGCTAGCCTAGAAGCTAGCTCGGTTCAATACCTACTAGCAACTAGCCAGTGGTAGCTGATCGCGATGTGATCAACCTGAGTCCAGGCTTGAGATGCAGAGGGAGGACGCCAAGTGACACATCGGCGATGACTGTGCCGAAAGTTAGTGCTAGCCAGAAACGGGTTGTGGTCTGTGCACAGTTGCAGTAGACGGTCCTCGTTATCTGTTCTGCGACCAACAAGTCCCCATCGGCCACCTAAACGACTCTCTTCTGTGCTTGGACGCCCGACCTGAGCATTCAAGTATCCGGCTAGTACTACAATATCTGTCGAACGCACTTTCTGGAGAAGAACAGATAATTGGTGGTAAAACTCATCCTTGACTGGATCCGGGCTGCAATCTGTCGAGGCATAGGCGGAGATGACGAAAAGACATCGTTTCTCACACCGATTTCTTCTCACTTTGATGGAACTCTCTAATCTAACAGCACATAACCGACTGTTAATGGGTATCTAATCGGTCTGTGCTGCCCCAGCTCTAGCGCTTAGTGCCACACCAACGCCAGCAAGACCAGATGAAGATGCCACAGGGTCCCCGGATAAGCGCACGTAAAACAAGCTTTTCGAAGCGATAGATGAAGAGCGAATTTGTAGTACTTCACCAGAGTCTTGAACACGGGTCTCGGATAGACAGCAAACATCGATATTAAGACTTTCCAAAGACATAGCCAGCCCTATCTGTTGTCCAACCTGCATAAGTGTCCGAACGTTGAAGGTAGCCAGTTTGAATGGTGCACGTGGTTTCTGAAAAAGTGCTTCAGTACTCATATTCAGTGGTAGCATACAATTTTCAACCGGACAGTGACTCGAGAACGTTTAGATACAGTCGAATTTCAACCATAGGCGAGCTGTTGTATAAGTCGAAAAACAAGGATACTTAAAGTGGGAATAAAATAGAGTAAATAAATGACGTAGTAAATAATAATAACAATAATAATAATATTACTAATAATAATGATGTGAATTGTTTGACTGTAAATCGAAGCGAGAATAGAATTTTCAGTAAATACCGTCATTCTCATTTTCTTTGTGTGTAGGCTGTGATACTGCCCGGGTGCCCAGACCAAAGCAGGTGGTTATCTTAGGGGGTCGCACCCCGAGCCTTTGACCTAAACGTCTAACCCACAAGGCAGTGGAGCATCGTAAGGAGATGCAGTCCCATGGTAGCCTGTGACCAACGATTGGTTCATACGCCATTTGTTCCCGCAGGATACTGAAGCCCATGTGCACCATTGGTTTGGGATCCGGTTAAAACGCCGGACATTCGCTTTTCGTCCTCTCATTTTCGTAAACAACACCCCCGTCACGAGAAGGCAGTGGGTAGGACTTCCCTGACAGAGGCTGTATACACGTGGCCGTGTGAGAGCATTTCGAGGGGGAGGGCGAGCCCACCCCACTCCCGGTCATACCAGGATCCATGAGATTCCCATCCTATAAGTGCTTTACTTGATTCTTTGAATAGCATCGGAGCAACTCTCTGAGTGTGTGGAGCATTTTCCTCTCCTCGACCCGAGTACATCAGCATCTATCCCGTATCTGTCCTTTTCTGTCCAGCTTGGGTCTAATAGGTTTCACTGATTCCCAGTACTGCCAAATTGTATCGCCTCATTTCCGTTGCTATTTGAATGATCATTCCGGTCTCCCATATTGTCCGGACGTTCCATGTCTCTATAAAAATTATTGCTCTGGTTGTTATAAGGAGCATCGGCCTTTTGACAGTCGAAGAGTTTCGGCTTTTATCCTGAAGTATCATACTTCTTTTTGAACTCGGAGGGTAGAGTTTAAATGGTTAAATAATTTCAATCTGATTGGCGTTTTTTGCAAGATTTTCTTCTATGAGATGGTGTCGCCAACTCCATTCCCAACCGTCCTCCTTTACTTGGGCTTGGGATCGACAGCAACTCTATAAGAGCTACTGGCAGAGTTTAATTTCATATGGTCACATATGAAAACATAACGTACATTTATTTAAATTACGACCTTACTTTCTGAATAATATGCTCATTAGGACGACTGGTCGTGCTGCAAAACTTTCTCTTATTAATAGATATTATATAAGGAATAGAGAGTGAAATAAAGTAGCTTATTTTGATTAGAATTATTCAGAGACATTGGTTTATCACTTAGTAGTAGCCAACGTCATGTTTGCCTAGTCCTTACTGCTGACCGAATTCTATTTATTAAGTTGGAATAGAGCCACTCTTCTAAGTGACTTGACATCGAGTGGACCATGTTTTGTGTTAGGTGAAGAACTCGATAGTCAAGTTATGATACAAAGAGAGGTTACTTATGTATCCCGTTGAAGTCAAGTCAAAAATTGATAAGCTGTCATTTTGTGGATTAAGTAACAAAAAGTCAACAGTTTAAATCTCTTCATGACACAATTTATCGTCACTTCACCCACCTCCTAAAGTTAAGATTTATTTTACCTTATAAATTAACTCATATACTCGAGATTTTGAATTTCTTACATTACAATAACATGACTGTAATTTACCAAACGTTAATAAAGAGAACGAATAAACTTACTTGAACTGCACAGTTTACACAAGTTAAGCAATCAACCCTTTTACCCTAATCTTCATTATGAAGTAAAGTGTTTTGAAGAACCATTCAAAATCAATAAGTACTGGGAATCTACTGAGTCATAGTTTTTGGAATTTCTCAACAATACACACTTCCTATCATTTACTGAATTAAATCTAAAGAATTCAGAGCTTTCAGCTAGCACCCCTAAATGCCTCTACAAAAGCACAATTTAAAATCACTTTTATTTTTTTGGCATAAATCAGATTACGAATATACCTTTCTCATTTTATATTAAACAATTACTTACCGTCAAGCTGATCAGTGTTATTGGTATTAAAATAATAAATGCTATATAAAAGATGAACGTCAATTTCGGATAAGGTATTGCAGATACTTGATCCTCTAAATATGACTGAATAATAATTTTTGTACGCTTATATTCACCCATCATCATCATTAATGTATCGAAAAATGTTAGTCCAATATTACTAAGCATATTGAATTGTTTTCTATTTATTTTTGTTATATTATTCATTGAATGGTTTAGTGAACTTGTATACTCAATGAAACAGTTACGGAATTGTATTTTATTATTGTCAGATAAAGAAGTGAACACCTGAGTAATAAACAGAAATAGAGAGGAAATAAAACGTATGCATTTAGCTATCAATACATGAAATTGTTCAGCAAATAAGAATGGCTCACTTCAAGTGTATGGGTATTAAATCTCTCTACTAGAAATATGTCAGAATAGTAGTTTTGATATTAATTATCCAAATGTATTGTTAACTTTGAGACATTAATTACAGTGTATAAACCTTGGTATGACTTTTAGAAGACTATGATTACTTTGTAGTTCAATATTTGGTTCTTATCATATTGTTTCAATAACTTCTTACACTTTTCTACTGTTATTTACAGTATCAAGGAGAAGTGAGAAGAGAACAGCATTAAATTTGAATAGTTACTCTTTAGATAATTAGTTTGTACATTTTTAACAAGTATTTAACAAATGATCATTTTATGATATCATCCTAAGTCATTCTAATTTCAAGGTTTCTTTCATAAAATTGAAGATTGTTATATCTCTTACTAAACGAATGTAAAATTCGATTATATAAAAAGTCTTATAACCATTCGTTTCACCTACTACTGTTATTGTTGAAAATTTGAGAAAGTCAAAATTCACTGGTATATTGACAGCATGAACATACAGTAATGAATATGAAGGCTTTATCTTTAGTGGCGTAGAGAACGTCAATAGTTACATGTTTAACTTAACAGGGATAATAATTCACTGTTTACTAGTTTATACATATAAATTGCATCTAATCCCATAGTGTCTTTTGATAGTGAAAAGCTTTCGTAGTTCGTTTTTAGAAGGTTATCAAACATAAATTTGTTCATTTAAAGACAATACTTTATACATTAAGTAATAATTTATAAATAGATATCGAATGAATAATTAGGTTAAATTATCAATGAACTGTCAACTAAACAATGATTTTAACAATGACTTTAATGATGAGAAGTTTTTCTGTCTAAATGTTCGATCAACTTGACACTTAGAGTTAACTAATTTAAACAAAGGTAACTAAATTATAGAATATCAACATTGATGGTAAGTCATGATCATGTCATTTATTAAAATTGCCTAATCACATGAGTTTTATAGTGTGAATAATACAGAGTAGCCATCGTACTTAATTGATCATCCTAACACCTTTATTATTTAATTTTCAGGAGCTAATTATGATACAGTCGGAGTTGGCTGTCATTTGAGAACATAAATTAACTATACTAACTGTTGTATAATGGAAGTAAGCAGAAAAAAAGTCATAAAGAAATTCTGTTTAAAAATTATTCTATTTAATACTAAGTATTTTACATATTTTGCTCATTTTTCGCGGTTTAAAATATAGAGTCATTATGAAAATATTCAGATATTTTAATGAACATTTCTATATTTTGAGGATAATTCTAACTAGGACTGATGCCAGATGGTCATGTACTGCTGGTGATTCTCAAACTACAACAAAACATTTGCGTAGTTAGTAATGAGTTAGTTAGCGCTAAACGAACTCTAATAGAAATGATCTGTCAAGCGATTGAAATATTATCATCCCAAAATTTAAATGCTAAGACGTTGGGAGGTGTCCGTTTAAAACACTAAAACGCTTGCATTCATTTCAAATGAATCCATATACCAAATCCTTTGTACGAATTCTTAAAACAAGAGATGGTATGCAGTAGTAGAAGTCACCTATGCCAGGCTAGTAAGATATCTGTTTATTTCATGAGGTAATTATCTTACTATTGTTGGATAAACAATACGATTAATGAGCATTTATGAAGTGTATCGAAGTGATTAATTGTGCAACTTTCCACTCACGCCTATAATTGTGTTAGTAAAGTATTGTCATTTATATAATGTGTGTAATTATTCAGTGAAACAAGTGGGATTTTGTTTGTGAATAAATCAATGTCCTCTGGTTTTTAAAAGTACCTCAGTGCATACACTTAGTTCCTTTTTATATAACTGTAGATTTAAAACGTTAATTAAACTAGAATCCAATGAATTCCTTGTTTTTTATGGACTTCGTTTAAATACGTTAAACCTTATTCATATTAAAAGATAATATAGTATTATGCAATCACCAAAGACAACCGTGACTTCAGTTTATGACGTAAATATTCTTTATTATGAAATTACCATAATAACTATGTATTTACTGATTATATATGTATATATAAAATAATTAACCTCTTCATCTGGTAACTGAATTAGTTGTTGAAATACTGTTGCAAATCCAATAAGAAGATATAAAGATAAAGGTAACAATTTAGCAACTGTGGCTGTCACATGTATAAACATGATGATAAATATTCCAAAATCTTGTGACCTATAAATGAGAAAAAATAGACAAAAATGATGGAGGTTTAGAGTGGTGGTTTGTGGTAGTCGACAGGAAACCATGGACAAAGGTTTCATACTGTTTGCTACTCATCATTAAAGTTTACCTGTAGTCCTGAGGGGACTGATGCTCCCTGGCACTAAGAAGGACCTGACATAGATGACATTGATCACTACCCAGTGACCAATCATTTGTAAATCATTAAGATTAACTAAATAGTGAAGTTTTACTTAAGTATGTAACTTTTGATTGAAAAAGTACAATAACGAAAACTAGGGAATATCATACATCTAGATTAGAACAAATGATGAATGATGCAAAACTAAAATAAATTTTACTGAGATCCATTGTAAAAAGTATAAGTGTAATGTTTAACTATCTATGAAAAATAATTATGAACTTTGAAATTAAGATTAGTTATAGATAAATAGCATTGTCTGTAGTTGTGTTCTGTTTTCGGAGCGGGCACAATGAAATGATCTATCTACGTTCGTAGTGTGTTCATCAACAAATATATTGACTTGTGTTTCAGGATTGATATAATTTAATTCTGACCCTCGATCTTGTGGCATATACATTTTTCAGGACTGAATTAGGGTTATTTGAATTTTCTCAACAGTAGTATGCCTTATAAGCAAAGATGGATAGTGGCTAGCAGTGGAATCCAGGAAGCGCGTTTCGTCCTGTTTGGGACTCGTCAGCTGGATGTGCCTGCATCTCAGAGTTGATGTTCACCCTGGGACTCGAACTTAGTACCGTTCGCTTCAAAAGCCATCGTAGTATGCCTTGAAAACGTCTATATACATAATGATTTACACTTGCTACTCCGAAATCGTTAAGGTCATGTAAACTTTATTTCGATGCCTATAAGTAATGTTTTGTGATCTATTAAAAAAGTATAGCACAGAAATTATGTTTACTTCTTTATAATAATCCTACAATTACATATCAGCTTATATTAATATTGATTCTATGGTATGGTGTTATAATATAGTTATATATTTACGCACTGTTTTATTTAAGACTATTACGGACAGTAATGCTATTATGGAACAAAAAATAAGAAATACTTTTAACCAATTATTTATACCTTGATTAACCAGTTAAAAATTATATTAGTGTAATTAATATTAAATATATGAATAAAACAAACCGAATCATTTGTAAAAGTAGATTCATCCAAGCTATAAACATGACAATTATTGCTAGAACAGCAGAATATAGTTGATTATTACCAATTAAACTTATTACTGAATTTATAATAAGTAATGATTGAAATATTAAAGCAAAGTGGTTATTCCAATGTTTAAAATATTTCACTCTCTAAATGGTAGTATAAAAGAGAAAAAGAAAGACAAATAATTACGAAATATATAAATCGAAATTTCAATAAAATATTTAATAGTTACTTCTCGGATGAGGATAAAAAGGAGAAGATTGGCAAAACAAGGGAAGCATTCCCACAGTTGAACAACATATGCAACTCAAAAGAAATGTCAGACAACATCAAAATCAGAATATTCAATACAAACGTCAAGACAGTCATAATGTATAGAGATAAAACTTGGAGAACTACTACAATCATCAATAAAAAAGTACAAGTATTCATAAATGATTTGCTACGCAAGATACTGAATGTCCGTACACCGGATACCATCAGCAACAATCTACTGTGTGAGAGAACGAACCAACTTCTTGACGAATAGGAAATTAGGAAAAGACGTTGGAAGTGGATAGGAAATACATTGAGGAAATCACCAAACTGCATCACGAGGCATGTGCTAACTTGGAATCGTGAAGGGAAACGGAAAAGTGGAAGGCTGAAGAACACACTGCATTGGTAATCGGAAGCATAGATAAAAATTCTGAATATCAACTATGAACAACTGGAAAAGATTGCCCAGTACAGAGATGGATGGAGAGTGCTAGTGGGTAGCCTATGCTCCTCCACGAGGAGTAACAGTCGTAATTAATTTTCAAAAATAAAACAAAGCTTCCGATTCCCGGTGCAGTGTGTTCTTCAGCCTTCCACTTTTCCGTTTCCCTTCACGATTCCAAGTTAGCACATGCCTCGTGATCCAGTTTGGTGATTTCCTCAATGTATGTCCTATCCACTTCCAACGTCTTTTCCTACTTTCCTATTCGTCAAGAAGTTGGTTTGTTCTCTCACACAGTAGATTGTTGCTGATGGTATCCGGTGAACGGACATTCGGTATCTTGAGTAGCAAATCATTTATGAATACTTATACTTTTTTATTGATGATTGTAGTAGTTCTCCAAGTTTTATCTCTATACATTATGACTGTCTCGATGTTTGTACTGAATATTCTGATTTTGATGTTGTTGACATTTGTATTGGGTTGCATATGTTGTTCAACTGTGGGAATGCTTCCCTCGTTTTGCCAATACATCATTTACGTCTGCATCAGATTCTCCTTGTTCATCAATGGTGCTTCTTAGGTACATGAAAGATTCCACATCTTCTAGGGCTTCTCCATCAATTGTGATTGTGTTGGTGTTCTCTGTGTTGTATTTGAGGATCTTGGTTTTCACCGTGTGCGTGTTGAGGTCTACTGATGCAGAGCCTTTTGCTACATTGGTTGTCTTGACATAAATTTGTTGATGTGTATTAAATAGAAGGCTTAGGTCGTCTACGAAGTCCGAATCGTTTAGGTGCATGTTCTGATACAGTGGTAATATACTTTTCATTCTTATATCAATAGCATTTATACAGACCTAGCTTTTAGGCAATCAAATTATTCTACGAAAGAAAGGTTTTATGGGTTATCTTAGCTGAATAGTTTATGAATAGACATATATTTCCTAATTTTTATGTCACTAAATTCATAGTTAGGTAGTGACCACACCATTTATTCAATGAAATTTTAAAAAAATTAGTGATTTTTTAGAGTGATGTGGCCACGAATTATCAATATCCATCTTTATTGTTATTTTGCTTACATTATTAATTTTTAAAGTCAGAAAGGGTTTTTGTGGATATTATAGTAATTTAATAATTGAGATAATGATTCAATTAAAGCTAGACCACCATGAAAAACGTGGATTCACTAGGAGATTGTTCCGTCCTATTATGGGACTCCTCAGCAGTGCGCATCTGAGACTCCGCTAGCGGGATTCGAAATTAGGACCTATTGGTCTCGCGCGCGAACGCTTGACATCTAAACGACTGAGTCGGCATCGAACGGTGTTAATGTCTAACTTTAACCTATCCACGAAATTGGCTCAAAGGTTAAGCGTTCGCGCGAGAGACCGATAGGTCTTGGGTTTGAATCCCGCTGGGTGGGATTGTTTACAATAATAATTTGTAAAGTCCCAAAATTTTCCACAAAAACACATTGCAAGTGTGAAATATTTCTCATAGAAAATTTAAGTTTCAATATTGTGTTTGAATAGGGAGATTTTAGACAAATTAACTAAAAATTGAACGTTCAACATAATTTAAACAACAGAAAAGCCCTTTCATCATTAAGTAGTTAAACAAAAAATAACTTTCAATTTGGTTAAATGAATCGAACTTAAATGTAATGCTCTTACTTGTGAAATAATTTGCAAGCATTGCGTAAACATATTTGATAAACTAACAAACAAAATGAAAATCAATATTCTTCTGTTAAAACTTGATTCATTTGTTTGACTGTATAACTGAAAGGAAATTGATACAGAAAAACGTTAAACGACATGACCTTGTAATTTATTTGAAAAAACGTGGTAACAACAAGTACTTAAGATGTAGGTTATCATGAACAAAATAATCTTTGTAACTTTAATGGACAACAAACATTGTTTTTAACTTAGTATGAGATCGTTAAAGTGTGCACACTTATTGCGTCAGAATATATGATCTTTAAAAATTTTGCCAATGGGCATAATACCCTTCATCAATTGTTATAACTTTCTCAATTTCAAATACATGACTATATGATACAGGGATAATTCAATAATCAATCCAACTTCAGGGATCTATTTACCTTAGTTACCAGTTAATTAAGATTTAAGCTATCAATTTTTACTTATTTTGTTTGATTGAATCCATTTCGTTGTTATTATTGACTCATAAACTATCTTGATTGGTTTGGTATTTTCATATATCCATATAAATATTACTTTTTATATTAGAGTATAGCCTGGTGATAGTTTAATTGAAAGTCATACTGTTCGTTTAGGATCAATTCTATATAGCAATCCTAGTTTTTTGTTCAATTACAACCCTTATTCTTGATTTTTGCTTTCATTACATCATGGATCATGTAAAGTGAATAGCAACAATTATCCATACTTGTTGTTATATATATGAAAATTAGTTGATTAAGAAGAAAATTATCACTTGTCTACTTGAATAGATTCAAATCAACCGTTTTAAAATAGTTTAGGTTCATAGTAAATCTATTTATCTAATTAAATCACTCAGATGACAACAAGAAGCTAGACAACTGTTGATGAATTGTTTTTGATATGCATAAATTACTTAAACATTTTACATAAATGAACTTTCTATTCGTTGAAATTTATTTGGTAACTAGCTTACAAAAGTAGTTTCTGTGAATGTTTCATTAAAAAATGTTTGAGAAAAGTGCTAAAATCTTATTCATTATATGATTTACTCTTGTTTGGCTGAAGAAACGTGTTTACTATAGAATAACTAACATTAGAGCCATTATATAGTTCAAAAATATGTTCCGTTACTAACTAAAACAACCGAAATTTATCTACGGTAACATTGATATGTTGTCTCGTGGTTTCTAATTCGAATTATAGCATAATTTAGATTTCCTCTAGATCTCATATCATCAAGTGATGAACCGATGTGTATTAGGATAAAAGAATACTGTTAAACCTTTCATAGTAAATTTAATTAATCATAACCATAAAAAATTCAACTGTGACAACTCAACACTAATATCCTAATAATCTAGTGAGCCGCAGATTTTCATCATTATCTTAGGATCACTAAAATCATAGATATCTTTAAAATAATAAGGATTAGCTTATTGTAAAAAGAAGATTTTTCATAACTTACATTTTGAACACAGTGATCTACTTGATTATTATTATTATAGTCCATAATTAATGGTACTTGTCTTAGACAGGAAAAGGTTACTGCCGAATTTAATATTATGTAATAAACAGTTATGATTAAATGAATCCATCTACCATACATCATCCTATTTTTTGGGGGGCGAAAATCAATAAAGATGGTGTAAATAAATGATTATATGTTATGTCGATAAGGTTAAATAACTCATAACTAATAGTCTTTAATCTTTCAATTTTATAGATTCCGAAAGGTTGTGTTTAGGAAAAAACGATGGAAATGGATAGGACATACATTACGCAAATCATCAAACTGTATCATGAGGCAAGCCTCAACATGGAATCCTGAAGGAAAACGGAAAAGAGGAAGGACAAAGAACACATTACGTCGGGAAATAGAATCAGATATGAAAAGGATGAATAAGAACAGGAAAGAGCTGTGAAGGATTGCCCAAGACAGGGTTAGATGGAGAGTTCTGGTGAGCGGCCTATGCTCCTCCACGAGGAGTAACAGGAATAAGTAAGAAAGGTTGCGCATATTAGATCTTTTAAAATAGTTTAGTCATTGTATATATGTACGTTAGTTTAAAAAAAATTAATATTAACTGAATAAACGGCACAGATTGAACAATCTTTATGCCTTTAGGATTTTATAATATGAAGATGCCTTGGCAAAACTTATGTTTAGTAAGTATATACCTTTGTCAAATGGTAATATACTATATATGTATTTAAACGTTACATAGAAGTATTTTCCTTAAAACCAGTTTCATAGTCTCACATGTCATGTATACAAAAATTAAGTTTAGAAATTAAAGTATGAATACTGAAAGGTTCAACATAAAGTTTTAGATCCACAGTTTTGGTTACATATACAAAACAGATTGGAGTCGGTGTACAAAAGTTAATACTACCTATATAAGAAAATCTATGAAACAACATTGTACCGAGATGGTGATCAGTTAATCTGTTCATTACAACCAAATATCCTAATTCATTTCTAAAAAACACAGTTTCAAAGCGTTAACTGATTAAGGAAAGATTGATAGTGGCTAGCAGTGGAGTCCAGGACGCGCGTTTCGTCCTATTTGGGACTCGTCAGCTGGATGTACCTGCATTTCAGAGTTGATATTCACTCCGGGACTCGAACCTTGTACTGTTCGCTTCAAACGCCATCCCGGAGTGAACATCAACTCTGCGATGTAGGTACATCCAGCTGACGAGTCCCAAATAGGACGAAACGCGCGTCCTGGATTCCACTGCTAGCCACTAACCATCTTTGCTTAAAATGCTTGTGACTTAAGGTTATATCGAGGCAATCCACACAGGATGCACATATGGCAACATGAGACTGTTCAATTACAGTCCTAAATAACAATGGGAAGATACAAGTAAAACAACACCAAGTGAAGTTAACTGCTCAAATTTCTTACATTAGACTAAAAATAAAATTTGTTAATCAAGTATTGAAATAAATTACTGTCAGTCTACTTAAACAGTGACAACAATGATTCAAACAAATATATATATACTAATCACTTACCATTTTACTTTGAGAAACATCTCACATAAAGCATGAGCAAGTAATTTATCTCGTTTATGAAGAATCATAATCTTTGAAATGTTAAAAAAAGAAAAAGTTGTTAAATTTTGTTTCATTCTAACTTTGGTTACAGATTTCTAATCCTACTCTGTCAACTTTCAGTTTGATAACCAGATTGTCCTAATTTGATGGTTATTATCAATTACTTTCCATATTCATCTTGCGTATTTATTGAGCTTTTGAATCAGTTTTTCATCATCTTTTTCTTCTGTCTTCCAAATCCTCACATGTGAGTTTCGCTGTACACTCTTGTGAATCATAATGTACTTTTAGGATAGATGTAATTCTAGCAAAATCGGAATGTTACACAATGCACCATTAAACTTATTTGATTCATATGAATCGATATGAGATTAGGAATTTCCGATAGTAAACAACATATCTGTCAAAATTATCTCCTGTAAGAATAATGTAGATTGTATGTAGAAAAGATTTAAGGTGAATAAATTTGCATGTACATGGATACTTGAAAGTAATTTCTGCATCACGAACTGTTAACAGCCGGAAAACTAATCGGAAACTATGAAGCTCTAAATAAGAATTTCCTTCAGATTGCACGAAATCTTCACAAAGTCATGTAATCACAAATGATCGATTTCTTTACGTTTGAAGATACCTTACCTGCCGAGTATTGTTGTATAACTTTCTAACACCTTTCCATTTTTGGCTGGATAAGTATTCATAGATCTTCTGTAGGAGTTAACTTAAAGAGTTTGTTGACTATCTTCATAGCGATAATAAAGACTAGTATCCATTTACTTTTTATCATATAAACTGTCTGATCATGTATTTTATAAATCCTCAAGGTTGAATGCAAAAGTTATGGAATGATTCAATGCTTCAATATTTCTATAAATGAGAAAAATTTAACTCCTTGTATTAAAATAACAAGATAATTATTCTAGGGAGTAATTTTTAGGTTCATTGTTTTCTTAGTAAAATCCCATCTGATTGGTCTCAATCACTGATTGTGCTAGTCTATAAGAAAGGACAAAAGTCCTCTTGTGACAATCACAGAGGAATCAGTTTGACTAATATAGTGTCTAAAATATTAGCTTCAATAATACCTCGACGCCTAACTAAAGCTCGTGAAGAGCAGACTAGAGAAAACCAGGCTGGTTTTTGACCTGGACGTGGTTGTATAGACCAGGTATTCACACTACGTCAGGTTCTAGAACACAGACACACGTTCAGACGCCCCACAATCGTAGTATTTATCAACCTTAAAGGAGCATTCGACTCTGTCGATCGTAAGGTTCTATGGCAGTGTTTGTCACTGAAAGGAGTACCAAAGAAGTACATTAACCTTGTAAAGGCTCTCTACTCGAACACAACTGGTCGAGTGAGAACTTATGGCGAACTGTCATCAGAATTGATAACCTCAAGTGGTGTTCATCAGGGCTGTCCACTCTCTCCACTCTTGTTTAACTTTGTCATTGACGTGCTTTTGGAGATAACACTTTCCTCGTCTAGTTTTCCAGGGTTTGAACTTCTATCAGGAGATTCACTTGTTGACCTAGAATATGCCGATGACATAGTTCTATTTGGTGAAGACGCTGACAAAATGCAGAGTCTTCTGACCACTCTAAGCAACAATGCAAGCATGTTCGAGATGCGATTCTCCCCCTCAAAATGCAAAATGTTGCTTCAGGATTGGGTTACATCGACACCCGAACTAATGATAGGGAGTGAAGTAATTGAGCCTGTCGACCGCTTCACTTATTTTGGAAGTCTCATCAGCCCTTGTGATCTGGTGTGTGACGAAATCTCAGCACGGATACAGAAGGCTCGACTAGCTTTTGCCAACTTGCGTCACTTATGGCGTAGGCGAGATATCCGTCTATCAACCAAAGGACGTGTTTACTGCGCAGCAGTTTGTTCCGTCCTACTTTATGTCAGTTAAACATGGCCGGTAGGAGCAGAGGATATTCGTAGGTCACTAGTATTCGATCATAGGTGTCTTCGAAACATTGCTCGTATATCATGGGACCATCGAGTAAGTAACACAGTTGTTAGGAAACGGCTACTAGGTAAGAATGGCAAATCGATTGATGAAGTGGTGAATTTTCATCAGTTGAGATGGCTGGGACACGTGTTACGTATGCCCACGCACCGACTGCCTCGACGTGCGATGTTTCATGGTATAGGATTAGGTTGGAAGAAAGCTACGGGCGGTCAGATCAAGGCATGTCACAAATCCATGAAGTCACTGACAAGTGTAGTGAGCCATGTTGGTAGGTGTAGACTACCTGGTTGGGGACCGCGAGATGATAGCAACTGATGGTTAGAGACCTTGAATGACATGGCTCAAAATCGTTTGTAATGGCGCAGGTGCATCCAGTATTTGCGTTCTCCCAAATTCTAATCTTCTGAATTTGTCATGTCCCTGTTTCCTCTTTCCAAATTTATTTCACTGTATTATACCCCTTGAATAACATCTTCGAGCCCTAATCTTTCCGATTACTGCTTATACTCTTACTACCTTTACCACTACGGAATTTGAGTCGACAACTGCATCTGTGCTAATGCGTTACTGACTGACTGACTGACTACCGTTTCATATGAAATTGTATTCTAGTCATCAGTTTTTTTTTAAATAAACAAAATTAGTTTACCTTTAAGTGTTGTAGTGGTTCAGTTGGTTGTCTGCTGCGATTTTTTAAAGGTGGTTGTAATATAGAGAAATCAAACAATGTCTAGACAGACAGAAAATAAAAGACAAAGAAACAAGTAACAATGTCTCAACATACTATATTATATAAAAGATCCCATAAACCATTTCTTTTATTGGTTTACATATCTAACAAGGGAAGTAATGAAAAGTATAAACTGAAAGTAACTCATGAAAAATGTCACGAAACTTTGAAAAAGAATCAATGATCATAGAAACACACTGATTCATTAGAAAAATATTTACATACATGTCAGTCATCTGATAAGTTATGAAAATATGACATGGTTACTTTATTGGGCATCGGTAACCAATAGGGAAGTTTGAACGTTGCTAGATTTTATACTGGGATTAACACGGAGTCAAGTCACTTGAACAATATGACTTATCGAGTTCAATCAATAGTGAGAACTAGACAGTATAATATTGATTATTAGTCAGTAACCAATAACTGTGAGCTACATAGCTATCTGACAATGAATTAAATGATCAAATTAGTCAATAAAAAGACATGTACATTTAACAATGATAACGTCGATTTTGCAACTTGGTGTGTAAGTCATACAATTTTATGAAGGCCAGTAATACTATTGATCTAGCAAAACAAAAATAAATGAAGCTCAGTTTAAACTTTTTGCCTAAATGTTGAAAGTTTTCTTTGGTGTTAACTGATAGAAACTGTAAATTACCATTATACTTATTGATATTAAATGAAGAATAGTTGAGGATCATTAAGTTCTAAACATATTTACTCTGGTTTAAAATAGATGTTTACAATTTAAGGATTTTTAGAATATTTCAAAATCAAAAGTAGACAGTTTCATCGGGTAAAGAGTATGGAGTTTTGAAAATTGATCTAAACTATTTATCTTCTGAAACAATTGATAAATATTAGTTCATGAAGAGAAATGTCTTCAAACTAGTGATTCGTTCACAAAGCACTCATATGAATGTTGTTTTTTCATTGATAAATTTTTCTTACACATTCAACCCTCAGACAAATACATAATTTGCACCTTACTGAAATAAATATTTATTCTGATAGTGAGTTGTAAACACCTGTAAATAGTTACTCAATGTAAGCATGACTGATAACGTTATTTACTGATCCTACATAAACGATAAACAAAAAACATAGAACATTAACGAATCAGTAAGTTCTAGCACGAAAATTTGTCAAATAGTGAGCTTAGGATCTACTGCATTCCAGGTAAGGGAAATCATCGAGTTTGAACCCTGTGGTCGAGATTTCTATCTTCAGTTGTTTCATGATATTGGGTTATAATTCATTGTCATCATTGAGAACTATCTCATTTCCAGCGTTGTTAAATCTCACCAGTCACCACCTCTCTCTAGAACCAGGGGATAATGAGCACATAGTTATTCATAGAGTTATCATAAATTATATTGGACATCATATAAACGATTATGAAATAATGATAAACACAAATTCGTTTCTTTTATGAATACTGGTTTAAGATTTTCTCTATATAAAATAAATATTATTCAGTTACCCCGTGTTCTGAACTGTTCACTTTTCCTTGATCAGTGATATACCGGTCCATAACCAACTAGAAACAATTAGATGTATACCAGATTATTTTAAAAAAGGTAACTACTTAATAATAATAGAAATTTATTTTTATGTTAAACATTGATGTTTATTTTTGACCTTTTTATTGCATTTCTCTGTGTCTGAAAGGCATCACAACCGTAGGACTGTATACATACTCAGCTGAAAACTATAAATTGACAATTTATATTTAGTCATCAAGTTATTTTACAGTCCGCTTAAAGTCTAAAGAAACTTTGGTAACCTAATATCTGGCTCGCAAAGTACATTGTTCACTTTCAAAGATAAGTCTCAGTAAACATAAAATATGACTTATTCATGTCAACTCATAAGGATTCAACACTTTATTCATTCTTTACAAAGATTTTATTATCAATGTATTGAATGAACTGTTCATACATTTCACTAGACTGGTGCATATTTGAAGATTTAGAAATAGTTAGTTCACAGTGTTGTAACCTCAAAACTAATCTGATAAAAGAGGAAATTGCTAAGCTAAACAAAACGACTATTCATTTATAGGATACATTTCCAACTGCCAACAAAATAGATTCCAGAAAAGAGATTCTCACACCAAATAGAGTATTTTTGTATTATGTATTCTTATTGTTCATGCTTGTATATAAAATGTCCAACCATAGTAGTATAAACTTAAGTTGTCCATCAGTTTATGAACAATTAAGCAATGATAGAACCGATGGTATTTGGTTCTTCCTATTGTAACTAAAAAAATTACTGAATACAGTTCATAGCTGTATATTCAACTCTATTAATGTAAATACAAACTAAGCCTTCTGTCGTTAGACTGACTTGATACTAACGATTAGATCACGTTAATAACTGCTAAAATAGTTATAATGAATGATGAATATATTCAATAGTTTAATTCATAAAAGTGAATACTGAATATTTCGATGACTTTGATGACTTTCAAATGACTTCTCGTCTTTAAATCGTTCTCTTGTCTAAGAAATGTAATTATCATTTGTTTACGATCGACCAATTACTCAAGTCTTTTAATATTAACATAAAAGTAATCATTATCAACAAATCGTAGTGCTGTTCAAATGTTTAGATTTCAAAGGAAAACCTTTCTGAAGTTTCAGATATGGAATTTATCTAGCAAATTCATTTTGATTTCATATTGGAAAAATTGCAATAGCTTTGATTAGGGCTTAATAACACATGAATATTATAAAAGAAAACTCATTCATAAAAGGAATGAGTTAGAAAAATGAACAGTTATGTAATCTTGAAGTAAAATCATTGTGAATTCAATAAAACGGTAGTTTACATAGTGTCGGGAATTTATACATCTTAATTGGTTATAGTGAGATGAAATGATCCATTTGTATCGAGTTTATGTACCGTCAATATAACTAAACTAAGATTGATATGTGAGTTTTATCAAGATTTTAATGACAAACATCTGTCATTCAAGTGGCATACATTCTATCAATTTGTTTAGGTGGTTGTAATTTTTTGGTACGAGTCATGGAATTGATATAGGAAATACCAAAACAGTTATATACGAATTATTCTTCCTCTTTTCTCACCAAAGAAACCACATACCAAACAAATTTCAGGTAAATACTCTATTAATTCTTTGAATGGACAGTGTATTGTGTTGCTAAGTAACTCCACTATTTCGGGCCATCTGTAAATAATAAAAAAATATTATATTGTTAAATAAATTGTTATAACTATGATACTGTTACACAATGACGTGATTTTATAAAGATTTTATATAATTTGATAAGAATTGTCATCATGAACTGATGACAGTTGAAAACAACAGGAAAAGGTTAGTTATTTCAAATAACTGTGATATTTATTTACAGTGCACCAGTAAGATCCTACACATGATAAGACTTAGAGCTTCAAATCTTCAAACTAGATCGTTCAAACATATTATTCTATGGTTCTGAGATCCTAGATTCAATTATATGTAGGTTATTAGTAATGCTTCGCTGAAAAGTTTTAAATAAGATCTAAACAAACCGTTCACTAGCTCTTAGCTTTTAAAATTTCTCCAGCTGTTAATAGTTTGTGATAGAAATTTCCTTCAAGGTTTATTTAAACTGCATAACTTTCACGAGAGAAAGATATGTATGAGATGATATAATATTCTGAGTGAGGGAATATTCAGTCAGTCAGTCAGCTACAACGTAGAACCAGGCACATATTTGCATCAGTCCAAGTTGACATACCTCATTAACCCAACAGGATGAACACCGAATTCATAGAAGTAGTTAATTTAGTGGTGGTAATATATAAAAGAAAGTTTGCATATGAGAATATAGTACAGAAACAAATAATTAGTTGATAGGAAGAAAGATATGAAGCGATTTTAATCTCATAGTTTAAAGGAAGACAGAGAGTGTATACACCGATGCTATTGTGATTGATTCTGAGCCATGTCTCCAACCATTGGTTACGATAGTCACGCGGACCCCAACCAAGTAGTCTGCATCTACCAACATGGCTCAAACTAGAGGTTATTGACTTCAATGACTGATGCTACGTTTTGGTTTGGTCACCCCTAACTTTCTTCTAACCATCTCCAACACTATAAGGTAATATTAAGTAAATATAATATTAATGATATGAATGTTTAGTATTTTGAAACCAATAAATCAGGAATTATTAGCTTATTTATTTTTAGATTCATAATAGTAACTACTAAATTTCTATGGTGTCAAAATGACTAAAGTATTACGAATACAATAACTGTGTTGATAAACATGAGGTGAGTTAATTTAGCTTCTAATATTGTAATATAATCACTTAAATAGATGAAAGATACAGATAGATTATTTAAAGTTAATCAAACGTATACATCTTTATGTATTAATATTTAGGCATGGTAAATATTTGCAATACATGCTTAATTTACTTTTCACAGAGGAGCTTTTCCATTGAACTATGAGTAATAATATTATGAGTTATGTATACATACTTGTTTATCATATTAATTTCCTAATTTCCTATCTGCTTACTTCCTGTTTATAATTTAAGTTTTTTGTTCTCCCTTTATATGAGTTATCGACACTGAACCAATAGATTGTATAATATAATATAATTTAAATTGTCCTATTAGTAGTTATATATTCTAATGTTTTGCAAAATAATAACTTGCATGGTAATCATCTTTAGTTACTGGTCTACTGATATCTGATTAGGTAGATCTCTTGTTTTAGTTATGCCTTATTTTTACTCTAACTGTTTAACTTAGCTTTTGATCAATCCAAATTGATTCCTCTGGAGTATTTTGAATACTTGTGATACAGTCGGTGAGTCACTTATAAGGATAGACAACATCTGTAATTTATCAACTTATCATTTTAATTCTATTTTTTAGTATAGGATAGTGAAAATAGATCGATTCATGGTTTCAATGAAATTGAACAAAGATTGTTATTGAAAAACCTAGAAGCATTGTTTTCGGTCGTTTCGTCCTAGTATGGGGCTCCTCAGCAGTGGGCTTTCACAATCTCACACGCGGGAATCGAACCCAGGACTGCACGGATGCTTAACCTCCGGATTTTCAGGGGTGACATAACTTAACATGGCTCATAATTTCAATTAATTGTAATTGTAAGTTTACTCTTTTTGTCCTCTGAATCTTCTGTACATCACTTCCACTTAATAACGATAACAACGTACATGTTGAGCGCTGATACTACATTTAATCATTCAGATTATAATTGTAGTAAGTGTCATTCAACTATATACACACACTCTGTATTGTTATAGCTAGAAAGTGCATCAAATAAACATGTTGTACTTCCATTAATCACGTTTCTGTTCGTAAAACATTTAATCAGCTATGTGTCTTCTCTTGTGTGTATTTGAATATGTGCATGCCCATTATCTATTTTATCGATTCTCTTATTGGTTGTAAATTCAACTGGTCGATAAATCATAACTCAAATAAATTCATATCATGCTTAAGCAACACTCTTTACACTCTCTTTCTTCGGTTGTCCGACTGACAAACGTTTGATCTATTGAATTCCAACCTAATCCGTATTTAGATTTTGGATTTTTAAAGTAGAAATGCATTTGAAAGCACGTCGACAGTTTGCAACAAGACACGAGTAGATTAAACTTGGAGTCAGAACATAGTAATTTGAATTGTAAGTTTTATAGCCTCATATCCACATACAGATCATAGACCTATCTTTCTGACCAGTGTTAAAAAGATATGAAACAAGGGCTTGGCAGCTAAATGTTTAACTGCAATACGACATTATTTGTGTTCACTTTTATGATTAGTTCTAATCCCTTGATTTTGTACCTGAATACATGTATGAATGCTTATGCATACTTGTCTGATGATCGTGTTGGATTTGATCTATCTAATACATCACGCTTTAGGTCAATATATTTATATGTATTACCGTAACTAACCTTTCATGTAGAACTATTTCTTTAACAGCTGCCTCATTTTGTCTTGTAATTGCATAATTTGAGAAGTATAATCCATTATGATCTGGTTTGATCTCCGCACCGTTAGATAGTAAATATTCTATTGTACGACTGTTATTCCTTATTGCAGCAATATGTAATGCAGTCATCTACAAATTATTAAATATTGTGTGTCTACTGTATTAAAACCAATGGAAATAAAATGACGGTTGTATAGATCGAGTGAACAATTTGCAAATTATGTATTGATTCTTTTTTATCACTAAATAAATACCAGACGAACATACTAGTAGTGTGTGCTACAGATGTCGACGGATATAAGTAGTATATATCATCAATTGAAAGTGAAATATCTGGAGGCAGAAGGTTAAGAAGGTCGAAGAAACAAAAACGAGAACAGAGAGTGATTGGTGTGGAAACGAAGGAACAATCAAGTCTGAGACAATTGGTGGATATTTTACAAATAAAGTATTTACTGGTTGGTTGTCAAATGTGACTAAGATTCTGTAATTTTGCATTCAAATACACTTGTGTTCTCGCTCAATACAGTAGTACTTAGATATGACAGTAACAATTTCAGAACAAGTGTGTTCGCTAAAGATTTTGTTTTATAGTTTAAATTAGTTGTGACAACTGACATATTTAGTCCAGGATGTAGTATTCAACCATTAACTGTTTTTATCAAATTTGGATAGCAACCAGCACTAAAATCCAGGACTCGCGTTTCGTCCCATTTGGAACTCGTTTGTTGGGTGTTCCCGCGTCCTTATCGATCTTCACAGTGAGATCCAAACGTTGTAGCTTCCACTACAAACAAAACCTACATCTCCGGTCCCAACGTTAGCTAATCCTCGGTCTTAATAAAAAAAATTATGATAAACGGTAGGAGCCAGGTAATTTGCTCAGGTTGCACATGTGCTATTAAAAACTAATGAGCTATATTCCTTAAAATAAACAGCAGGAAAATACAAACCCTTACAAATAACTATTAGCCGAATTAAGTGGTTAATTTTATACCAAAAACAAATGAGTCAAAGTTCAAATTGATTAGTGAGTTTGTTCAATGGTTATTAATAGAATCGTCTCAAAAGACAGGTTCACAGCTCGTTGATAATTTACTGTATTTTATCATATTAAGGAATATAATATAGCTACTTAACCACTCTATCCATGTAAAATCTTTAAAGAAATGAAGTTATAAGCCAAAAAGAAACTTACTCCATCATAGTTTGTTTGATTTAATAAAGTAGGATTAATCTCTAATAGAATTCTACATGCTTCTACATTCTCTTGCATTACTGCATAATGTAAAGCAGTATTTCCGTCATGGCATCTAGATGAATTAATAAGTATCAATAAAGTCTTTTTAATTTTGATAAATTAAAAAAAGTTATCAGTATTTTTGCAGTTTCATTGTTATTTACTACTGAATACTAAGGAATAAAGAAACTTAATGGAAAATAAAAAAATAGTACAGACAATAATGTTAATTTGGTTGTTTGAAAGAAACTCACTTCGTATTTATGAACTCTAAAAGTCAATTGAAGCTAGACCACCATGGAAAACCTGGAAGCACTGGACGGCCGTTTCGTCCTAGCATGGGACTCCTCAGCAGTGCGCATCCACAATCTCGCTCCCGTGAGATTCGAACCCAGGACCTATTGTGAGATATCAGCTCACTGAAGACAATGGTGTACGATGGCGCAATTTCGTGGACCGGTTGAAGTTGGACCTTAACGCCGTTGGATGCCGGCCAGCTTAGTGGTCTACTGGTTAAGCGCTCGCGCGCGAAAATGATAGGTCCTGGGTTCAAATCTCGCGAGGGAGGGGATCGTGGATGCGTACTGCTGAGGACTCCCATACTAGGACGAAACGGCCGTCCAGTGCTTCCAGGTTTTCCATGGTTGTCTAGCTTCAATTGGCTCATCATTTCAACTAGTGAAATTTCTAAAATCTCCACAAAACTCCTTCTGATAATTCTAAAAGTACTATGAAAATAACTTTACCCGTAATTTTAAGATCGAAATTCTTGTTTTTTTTCGGTAGAACATTCGCCGTAGGGTGTACTACTTGTACGGACAGACATAAGTAGTATATATCAGGAATTAAAACTTTTTCTTGGGTGAAGTAAACAGAAAGCAATCGAAGTAACAACATGGATGAATGACAACTCAAGGATGATGGGCTCATAGGTTATTTAATGTATTGCTTATTACACCACCATAAGGCTAGAAATCATACTATCCGCAATTGTTTATTCCCTTTTTCTGTAGTGTCTAAGATCATTTATTAATCATGCACACAGGTGCATTGCTTAGTTATTTTTATTGCTCTTCAGAGACAAAATGAGAATTTCTTGTAAAAAATTAGTCCTACAAGTACCAATAACAGCTATTAAACAGTGATTGATGTGTTTTCACCTTACAACTCGGCAAGTATTTTATAACCCTGTTGTGCTCGTACTATTTGTAGAAAGAATGACCGATCTGCAACATATTAAGGACAGTTATATAATAATGGCTAGACTATAATTTATGGACGAATCGATCAGATTTAGGGTAACAGTTATTGGATTTTGGCGCGAAATTCATTCATTCATTTAGCTAGATAGCTTTTTGGTATTATAGTTGATGTCAGTTCGTAATAACAACACTAATTAAATTCTTAACCCTAACCATCAACTGTAAATGATAATCCTAATTTATTACACTGGTTTATAACCCTCATAAGTAGATGGACATTTTCGAGGTCTTTTTAGTGACGCCCAAATATCATCCATAAATTATAGTTTCACTATAATAATTAGTAATTTGCTGACAAAAAGTCGAGTCAATCAGGTAAATGATCAAAACTGATAGTAAATCATAATTTAATTTTGACTTATTCAAAAAAATACTGAATGGAAAGTGTAAAATTCATGTTCAATAGAATTTTAACTTTATTAGTCTTGGTATATTATTGATTATCTTTCGTAGTCTCCAGATTGAATGTTAGATATAGAATTCATATCTTAATTTATGTATTTGATGATATTGACATTAAATATTTCAGTAATAATTGATTTTCTAAACCTGAAACATTGTAGTTTATTCAGCAGTTTGTTCAAATTCCTTCCGATTTATTTTTTACCTTGGTAACATTAACCAGCAAATGATAAAATAGTAACACCTGTTCATATTCGTCTTATCATTGCTAGCAGTGGAAACCAGGATGTGTGTTTCATCCTATTTGAGACTCGTCAGCTGGATGTACCTGTATCTCAAAGTTGATGTTCACTCCAGTACCATTCGCTTCAAACACCATCGTGTTATCCACTTAGCTACTGAGTCCTGATAACCACTTGCTTGTGTAATTGGGTGAATTTAAATTGCAGTCTTAAACCTCAATGAGAAGATTCAAGCAAACAATACCAAGTGAAGTTGTTACTTTATTATTTTATAAAATGACTACAACCTTAATCAATGCCAAATACTGGATACATCAGACGGAAACATCATAGTTCTTGATACATTTATCTTCTAGCCAAATTTTTGGGAAATAATAAAATGGGATTACATTCGGGTTCATACACCCGTCGTATAGTAGATGAAGTAAAATGTATAGTAAGTGAATTGACTGAACATTTCTGTGATTAAATATAAATGATAAATAAATACAACTTGACTGTATGTTAAGAGAATATTTTTCTTAGGTATTATCTAATTGATGTTGAGAATTCTTCATTATGAAAAGGTATGTAATAGTCAATTGACCAATTATATATAATCTTTAAGCTAACCTTCGGAATAAGCAACCATTTTTTAAAAAAAGTTCCAATAATTTATCTTGTCCATAATAAGCTGCTATATGCAAAGGTAGACAACCTTTACTATCAGTCATAGATAATGTTCTCATACCGCCAATTGTATTCAGTATAACCTGTGATATTCGTAAACGGCCAAATTTAGCTGCCAAATGAAGTGGAGTACATTTATTCTCACCGACAACTGTTACATTTGCACCATATCGTAAAAAGAATAGACAAGTTTCTATAAGACCTAATTTAGTTGCATAATGTAACGGTGTATATCCATAATTGTCTACATCGTTCAATAATTCAGGTAACTCTTTAAGCTAGAAAAAAATGGACATATTTATTAATTGGAAACATTATAAACTGATTTTAATATGAAAAAGTCTTTCTTCATATATTATTTTCACTTAAAAATCTAATGTGAATTATTTGTATTTAAGTTTTTTAGTAAATATATCCTATCAAGGTTAATCGTTCGCAAGTGAGACCGAAGGTCCTGGGTTCCAATCCCGCGAGCGGGATCGTGGGTGCGCAATGATGAGGAGCCCCACAATAGGACGAAACGGCCATCCAGTGCTTCCAGATTTTTAATGGTGGTCTAACACTAATCGGTTCATGATCTCAATCAAAAATGTAATAATCTCCACAACCCAATACTGACAAAATTTCTGAGTTTATCATCTATTATTGTCTAATTACTTGTTGAATATATCTTGAAGTACTAGTAAGAAGTAGTGGACCATTAAATCAGTCCTTTTGAAATTGATATAGATAAGCACTGATGCCTTTGGATGATAGTTGCGTTGTGTAGATTATTTGTCGAATGAAGTTGCAAGGTGTAAACCGAAACACTTCAACCTATTTGTTGAACACTACTATATCTAAAACCTGTACATCTCTGTCTATTTCTATATGAAGTCATTATTGTAGTAAGCCGTAGAGTCCCAATACAGGAAAAATGCTTGATTAACGAGTCACTGTTTTTGATGGTTATTCGCATGATAACAGTTCATGATGGCAATTATTACCATATATTTGTTATCATATTCTACTACAATTTTAATTTCATAAATAGGGAGAAATACTAAAGATATCGAAATATTTGGAAAGTGTATTTTAAAAGTGTCATTTTAATGGTGGTCTGAACATCCAGTCTTTTGGTTTAATCACAAAGCTTTGATTGTCCTTATAAACAACACATTTGGATAAACACTGGTGAAAAATTTCTAAGAAAAATAACCATTGTTTTATGGATTAATAATTTAGCTGGAATTGTAGTGAAGGCGAACACAGTTGAGGACAGCCGATACAGTTATTTGATATAATACGAAATCCATACTTCAATATTTCATATGCAAAATGATCATTAATTTTCTCAGATTTCATTGTTCCTTCATTTCCTTACTAATTAATTTTTGTTCTCGTTCTTTTCTCTTCGATCTTCTCAACCTGCTACCAGGCATTCTATTCCTGATTGGCGTCATATACTACTTATGTCGACATCAGTAATACTTACGATTATTAAAACGCATGGAAATGCAAACAACTTAACTTTTATTTTCCATATTTTATAGTTTGTGAAATAGAATCATTTGTGGTATTTTAATAATTTTCATAATATACATCTCTTCACAAAAGTGTTATTCTTACACTATGTATGAAGTTGAATATTGAGTTGGAATGGGTTTCGAAAATAAGAAAATGCTGATTATATAAAAACTAAAAACATAATTGTTTAGTACTCTATGGTTTTTGAGATGAAAGTACCCAGTTGTGAAAACTACCTTCAGACTGAAATTTAACCAAAAATATATTTATATTATAGGAACAATTGGCTTGTTTCATGTTGCAATATTCCAAGAGAATGCATTCATATACTCTTTCGAAATTGAAGTACATGAACCAGGGCTATTGATGAATGCATTTTATTTAAAACCAACTAGACTGATATTCAGTTGATAATATTTTTAACATTTCATAAATACATTCACTTGGTGTTGTTTGTGTGTATCTTCCTATTGATGTTTAACACTGCGATTGATCAGTCTCTTGTTGGCATATGTGCATTCTGTACGTATTGTCTCAATATTACCTTAAGTCACAAGCTTTATAAGGAAAGACGTATAATAACTAGCAGTGAGATTCAGGATGCACATTTCGTCCTATTTGCAACTCATCAGCTGGATGTATCTGTATTCCAGAGTTAATGTTAACTCTGAATTCTACTGCTAGTCACTATCCATCTTTTCATAAATACACTTTAAACCGGTGAACTTATAATCAAAGATACTGATACAGAAAGACTTACATTTCTAAACAAAAGTGATCCAGTATGCCATAAAATTTACAATTTATAATAGTAAAAATCCTAATACGTATTTTAAAATTTAAATCGATAACAACAAAATAAAATAATTTGTGGTTTTGTACCCTTAGTTCTTTATTTTTTACCCTGTCGCCAATTGTTAAAACTCTCGGTTTTACTTCGTCTAGTGTTATAACGGTTGGGTTTCCACTTTTACACGTATGGGACATTAATTTACCTTAGACGAATATCTACACTAGATTCCCTCCCACTGTCTATTCTACAAGAATTCAACACAATTCAGATCAAGAACATGTGATCAACCTGACCACAACATAAATATATTTCCACACCAAAATCCCGACACAATGCAACAACAATGAACAATCAATAATAAGCGAGTAATAATAATAATAAGGATAAGGGAATATATAACTCATCTGACACCTGTCAGACTATCTACATGTGTGCCTAAGCAGACAACTAATCATGATCATTCATGCCCACACATCAAAAACAAAAAAAGAATAAATTACGTTAGATTAAATAAGCATAAATGATTACATAATATCAACAGTTGAGATCATGAGTCAATAGAAGATAGACAACCATGGAAAACCTGCAAGCACTGGACGGCCGTTTCGTCCTAGTGTGGGACTCCTCAGCAGTGCGCATACACGACCCCTAACCCAGGACATATCAGTCTCGCGCCAGGCGCTTAACCAACTAGACCACTGAGCCGGTCGACATCCAACGGTGTTAATGTCTAACTTCAACTAATCCACCAAATTGAGCGACACATCCACCATTGTCATCATTGAGTTACTACCTCACAACTGACCCGGTTGAACTCTACTGTTCACTGCTTCTCACTACAACTCCAGGATATATCTCTTGAAGCCAGTCACTAGTGATTCATATCTGAAGGGGTTTTGTGGAGATTGTAGTAATTTCAACAATTGAGATCACGAGTCAATTGAAGCTAGACCACCATGGATGCACATTGCTGAGGAGTCCCACACGAGGACGAAACAGCCATCCAGTGCTTCCAGGTTTTCCATGGTTGTCTCATGATTCCAACTGTTGAAATTACTACAATTTCCACAAAACCTCTTCTGATAATGCATAATAATCATAATTGAATTAAAGCATAATTAATTAATCAATGAATTGTATATCTTACATTTTTTATTATTTCAATTGAATTACATATTTCATCTGAACAACTTAAAACAATTAAATGAAATAAATTTCTTTGTTTTATATCATGATGTTTAATTATAATGTTTTTATTTAATAAATAATCAATTACATTAATTGAACCTTTAATAGCAGCTGACATTATTGGTGTATAACCATTTATATCTTGTTGATTAATATTTGATCCCTATATTTAATGAATAAAACGAAAAATCAAAAATCAATAAGTTGTGAACAAGATCAATAAATGAATATTTTTCTTTTTTTTCGTTTTTTATGGTAAATTTTCTAATATTTTATCAATATATTGCTATTCGGAATTAGTTAGTTTACCATTATACAACATAATTCATTACAATTGGTCTTGTATATCTCAAGATCATGGATTTAATATAACTATTATACTAAAAGACATATGATCTAAATGTTTAGTATTCAGTGATTCATCCCTTTATGAATGTATTTATGATGTTCCAATAAGAAATTTAAACTTACAATCTGGTGCGCCACAATTAAGATTCCCTCTTTCTCTCTCTAATTATTTTAGTTAATTATAGTCAATCGATAAGTAACCTTGTAAGCTCCACGATAGTTGTTACTTAACAGTAATGATATATGTAAAATATATCGAAACAACTCTCAATTCTTATAGGAGTACCTGGTTTTACAATGAGAGATTTTAACGATAACAGTAAGGAAATCTAATTACGTTGTTAGTTTAAAATACAAAGTAGTAAACTGGTAGAATATTTGACATTTTCAACCATTTTTAACTGAATAATCTATTTGATTAGCTAGAATATTTATTGTGTTAAATTCTTTCATTGATTGTGAGTTCATTCACTCTAGTAGTAGTAATAATAATAATAATACTAATCTTGCAAAACTCATGGAATAACCATTGCCTTTTATTACCCACTTTGTAAGTATAAGTTGTACCAAATATTTCTCAGTATGTCAAATTCCCTTCATCAAGTCACTAATATCTTCCTATGTATATTTTAGAAGCTGAAATGGAATCATTACAGTTGATGACTTTCAAAATATTCATTGGATTGATTCAATGTATGATTAATTTATACCAATGGAAATCATTTTTCAAACTGAAATGATTAGTTTAAATAGTTTTTTTTTCATCAAACGATCAGTTTGTGTTAATTTATCATCTTCATTTGACTAATAAAACCAATGGATACTGTCTAACAATAATGTTAAGAATGAACAAAGAAAAGTATTATGTTAAAGAAGTACTGAAATAATTACCAAACTTATTAAATAATCTACCATATCAACAAAATTGTGTTTAGCTGCTAAATGTAGACACGTTTCTTGATTTTCATTGGAACATTGAATTAATTTGGTTTGTTTTTCAAGTGATATGTTTTTAATGATTGCCTTTACACATTCTAGATCACCTCGTAGTGCAGCATAATGAAGTACTGTTTGACCATTTTGATCTTTAGCTAGTACATCTGGGTTATGTTGAAGGCATATCTATTATTATGAATTAAAACAAGAAAGAATTATTTTCAAAATTGTGGTAATTAAATGATTTTGTGCAGAAATTTGTATAAGTTTGAAGATGGTCTTTATTACAAGATGAAGTCAACTAAAGAAGTGTAGCCAGCACTTAAGAATTATTTCGTCCTACATATGTATTCCTTAAAAATGCAAATGACTAATTTGAGAAAAGCATAGAATCTAAGGAGATCAGGGCGGCCTGCTTGAGCATCTGGGCTACCTGTTCCTGCCATCTAGATATTTCAACAAGTTATCTATTTTTGTTTGTTTTAATATATCATCATGTTTATTAATCGCATAACCTATTCTGCTGGGTTTCTGAAAAGTGTACAACCTTTCGTTGTCAAAGTTACAGAAAACTCAATAAGAGACAATATGGTTGCTGGCAATATACAACGAAAAGAATGTACATTATTCAGTTGTTCATTCACTGAAGTGCTAACATCTAACTGGCGATCCCTCAATATTTATCGCCAGGACCGACCAAGAAGAAAGAAACGGAAACTTGTTGAAATACTTTGCGCTGAGAATTCTATATTGTACCAAAATTATAATATTGAATAAAGCTAATAATAATTAAAAAAAATAATAAGTTTGTTAGCTCTCGTAAAATATACCAAACCTTAAAGCAGATGAGTCACTAGTTCGTAATGTTTCTATACCCGATGCCTGTTTGAAATGAAAATAGAATTGAAAATATTTGAAGTTCTGTACATAATTACCTAAGGTACTGGAATTTCAAAGTTACATGGAAGGCTTGTAAAGACAATTACAATAGTGTTATATCATTTAATTATGAATAATAACTAAACTTTACCATGACAACATAAAGCATACCAATCTTTTCCCTAACGAATTGATAAAGTGGTTTGTAGGTGATTTCCTTCATGGAATGATGTCAACTGGTGTATCGTTGAATTTCAGAGAGTTCCAGTATAGAACTTCTTATCAGCGCTTATCCACGGGTTCATTGAGGAGGAAATCCAGGACATTGAGATTTCGAGGTGAGCTCATTACTCTAAGGCCACTGAATCAAAATCTAACTACATGTTACAAAAATGTCATGCTTTAACGTTACAGAAATTTTACAAAATATGGTACTTAAAATTATACTTACATTCAACAATTCAATCGATCCTGAACTAGCTGCCGCATGAATCGGTGCAAGACCTTCACCATCACGTAAGTGGATCAACTGTTGTTTCTTGAACGGCTTCTTCATCCTCTGATTAAGTTTTTCTTGTCTCATTCCGAATTCAAATGAATTGGTTAAATCTTTAGATCCTGAATTAAATTTATCTGAACTTGTTGAATATTTACGACTGAATACTGAAATAGACTTATGGTTCTCTGTGTTAGTAATCATAGAATTAATAATCTGCCAAGAAGGTTCTGTTATTGTTGTCGTTGGCTCATTATGTGCTTGCATATCATATTGATTATAATCCAAAAGGATTTTAAGGCATTGTAAACTTGATTGGGAAATCGCTTCATGAATTGGATATTTTCCTAAAGCATCCGCCTGGTATATATTCCCACCAGCTTGTATCTTGTGGCAGAAAAGAAGACAAAAACCGATAGTATTTAGCTACGAATTTAACAATTTCCTATAATTACTTAAGGGATTATTTTCATGAGGAATCACTCTTATATTCAAGTTATTTTGTAAGATGTATATGGTCTATTCACTGCATACACAAAACAAGCTACTGAGGTTTTGAAGAAAACTGGAAAACAATGTTTGGATATTCACGAAACGTTCATGGTTGTTATGGAGATAAAGCGTTGGATAAAGTAGCTGTTTCCCAGTGGATCAAGGGTCTTATTGACAGCAAGAATGATGAGAGGCGAGGATGACTGTATACCTCCTAAATTGTTAAGTATGTTTAACATATGCTATCTCTTGTTCATTCTTATTACCATTTTACTGCTCAGATCAATGCTGATGAACAAAACTTAGGAAATATGGTCTATAAATCCAATTATGAAAAACCTCACACTTCAGGACTTGTATTTATGTTTTGAACAATGAGAATGGGAATGGCTAGAGTTTATCGCTACTGCCGACAAAATCGGTTCATCTTAAATTTGATTCACTGAAGCGTTTGTGACCATAGATTGTAGATTTATTTGGAAATCTACCCATAAAATGTGTCACCAACATTGATTTACAGTACTGTCTGAATATTGCAATGGAGCGGAATTTAACCATGAAGTATGTTTCATATATTGTATTTTGATGAACCTAACAGAACTGAAAGAAACTGACGTTATAACTCACTTGTTGACATAGTTTCGCTCTGCAATTCTGAGTCTTTCTCTAATTGAAACGTGTCAGGAAGCGTAGTTTCAAAGAAAAATAAATGAAATGCATATTCACGTAAGATAAAGACAGTCTAAAGTATTTGATGTGATCGAGTGTAATGTAATTGCTTTTATACAAAAAAAATTATAGTCATAGTTCTCAGTGTTCCATAGACAACTTTTGTTCAGACTGAGTCAATCGTCTGTCGGTTGAAACAATCGTAAAGTAGTAATTAATTTATAACATAATTGCAATATGAAAGTTAAAAAGTCGAAGTATTAAGTTTTTTGGTAAGTTCTTGGAATTTTAGACCTTTACATTTGATGTTTCACCCTGAGCAACATGAGACGTTAATTTCGGAGTATAACATAGACTACTGTTTGAATAATAAACTGTATTGTCTTACATGTAGTGATTATTTGTTTTAAAATTTCTTACCAACATTTGTAAACATGCAGCACTATCATTGAAACAACAATAATGAACCGGTGTTGCACCTTGTTCATCAGGTGTATTGGCATCTACTGCAATTTCAAGCAGAAGCTAAAATATATTAATCAATGAAGTATGCATGTATATGTGTATTATACGAAAATAAAACTTTGTTCATAAAATAACTTATTTAGAAATATATGGAATGGGGCTAGCGGTAGGATCTAGGACTCACGTTTCATCCTGAGCGGGACTCGTCAGCTGGATGTACCTGTATTCCATGGATGATGTTCACTCCTGGACTCAAACACAGTTCAGTTTACTTCAAACACTATTGTATTATCCACTTAGCTAATGAGTTCAGATAGTCACTTATTTGTGCAACGCATGTAAAATTCAACCCGATTTGAAATGGATCAGATTGTCCCGTTGTTGATATTTTCGACTAAAATATGATCAGTCGTGGTTGGGATGTGAGTAACCTGTACAGGTATATCCGGCAAATGAGTCCAGAATTAGATGAAACTAGCGTCCTGGATTTTATTTCCAGCCGCATCCCACCAATTATATATCAGCTTGTGTCATAATGACTACATCAAGACAATCTGGGCAGGTCAACCATATGCCAATCAGGACTGACCAAATTTTGATCAAAAATATTAACAACAAGATAATACGAACAATTCCGAATTGGATTCAACAAGTTATATGTTAAATGATACAATGCTATTTCACTGTTTTGTAGGTTAGTTTATCTATGAAAATATTCTGAATGAAATTTAACATTTAGAATTATTTCCCGGTTTAAGGATCTTCGTTATTGTCAAAAGCTTAGATTATGTTAGCAATTGCAATTTGATAAGTATGTACTATATTTTATTCAAAGGAACAACTTTCTGTGGCATACAAATGGATTGGTCATGAGACTAACATTGATTGCTTTTTTAATATAGATACATTTAAGTACAGTGTAAACTGTCACAAGATTGTAATTTTTTGTTAGCTAACTGTAGATTGTTTTTCATAGTTAAGCTTACGAATCCTGTTACTTCATTGTACAGCTTTATTAGTGACATTCATTTTTATCTTTGATCCATTATTTGTAACATATTGTTACCATATAGAATGTAGCCTCAATTCTCTTATTTATATTCATTCAGTTAGGCAGTGTGTTTGACTATTGGTAGCTAGGCAGTCAGGACTTGGAGATAAGTATATTGAAGAAAATATCATTTAGATTGTTCGATTTATTCCGTTATCTTACTAAAACAATGTTCCTATCATAATAATGTCTAGATCAATACTTATGCACGGGACACTGATAAAGTCATTTTGTAACTATAAATGTACACATTAAGTGATAGTTATTTCTATGTTCTTTTTGTCTTACAGTATTACTCTACAAAAAATTAACTATTATATGTTAGGTATTTATGTCATTTATGGATCCATCCAAAATTTACTATCTACTTACTTCTAATCCTTCTATAAAGTCCGCTTCACATGCTAGATGTATAGCTTGTGCACCTAGTCGGTTTTTTGCATCCACTTTGGCACCAAAATCAATTAACAATTGAAGTATTTGTACGTGTTTTCTTGAGACTGCTGAGTGTATAGGTTGATTTCCCAATTCAGTGATATAATTTGGATCTAATAGCAAATAAAATATATGAAAACAGTGTTATATTAATTTAAGACAGATAGAACGTTCTACTTACCAGTTATCTGTTTGCTATCATAAAAATGACGTTAACATGTTGGTCACTATCGGGGTATACAGTTCGATACAACATTGCTAGAGTTTTTCTATCATTATTATTTATGTTCGAATCTAGAATATACGGTTAATTTTTGATTGCCATAAAATCGAATGATTTTTAGAATAGTGAACGGAGACTACGGTGTGGAGAAGCAATTCATTGTTCATTGCAAAATTACACAGTAATTTTATATAATATGGAAATTATACGTTAAATCCATTATTTGCACACGTTTCATCACTCGTACTTTACACACTTTATGATTCTTACAATTTTATTTTTATTCAATTTGCTTTCTGCTTCACTTGTTGTTCTCTTCAATTCAATCTTCTGCTGGCAGGCATTTTACTTCAGATTACTGCTACGTACTACTCAAATCTGTCAGCATAAGTAGTATACACCACACTAGTAGTAGTCGTAGTGGAAATCTTAAAGTAAACTTAATAAGATGTATTTTTAATATATTACTCTACGCTTAAAAACGAAATGTCAGCGACTTAGACTACAGCATGATTGTCTATGGGTTTCTTAGTTTCAAGGCGCAAATATGTACGCTTTATGTGTTCCGAGAAAAGAGTATGTTGGAAGTAGGCCTATGATCTTTGTGAGATGAGATCGCTTGTTGTATGTTTGGCTTGTCCAGTCACACGGTAGTTTATTCACACTGGGCCCTATTAGATTGATATTTTCTGTGATTGAATGTAGGTAAAGGCGTAACTGAAGAGATCTCTTGTCCGGAAGAGCTAAATTTTCTACGGACCCTATTGAGAGATGTATGGCTCCGGTTGCACCGTTTCTGACGAGCAATATGGTGAAACAAGTATGAATACCACAAACGATAGTCAATGCACGGTACAGTGTTAGGGATAAAGTAAGAAAAGAATTGAGATTGGGTTGGTTTAGACACTCATTTGAGCATCCATTTTGTGTGTTCCTTACTGAATATCTTGAACACCTCAAATCTTAATGATAGTGTAGTGAATAAGAACACGAGTGGGGACAATCGAATGTATTTGACACAAAATTAAAGGACTTAATAATAAAATCTAACAATCATAAAGTAAATCCTTAATTTGCAACATGTCCATCGATTGTCCCAAAATGACTCAGACTTTATTGCTCTTGCATTTTCATACAAATTGCATTCTGTCTCCATTCTTTACTGTTCGATCCTCTTGTCTTTCTGCTGTCAGACTTTCTGTTCCCGACTAACATCATATACTACTTGTATCAGTATAAGTAGCACACATCACAACAGTTCATCTAAAGGTATGTTCCACTGAGTGAAAAGGGCTTTCACTTTTAGATCTTCTGGGGTTCTGATTGTGTAGATATATGATGAACACACGCCCGGCCAGTTGGAGTGAAATATAAACATTTGGTAGGCTTTAGTAAAATGTATTGGTAGTCATATGAAGCCAGCGATTCTTTCAAAAACTAAACAGAAAGACGTTATGACCTTGATGTCTGGCTTTTCCATCACGCGAATTATCCACTAATCAGAATACGACTTATACAAATCTTCACACTATGCCAACCAATGACTTTCAACCGGTGTGGGCAGTCTAGTGCCTTAGATGGTGGTTGGAGGTAGTCAACAAGAAACCCTGGACCCGGGTTTCGTGCTACTTGGCACTCGTCAGCAAGATGTACCTGTAATCTTGAGGGAACTGGTGCTCCCTGGCGGATTCGATCTCGTGTCGCCCAGCTTCACAGTCAGAGACGTTACCACTGAGCTATCCGAGCCGCGACTAACCTCCTGTAGGACTGAGATGTAATCTTAATTGATTGATCACTGGGTGGTGATCAATGTCATGCTTGTCTAGTCCTTATTAGTGCAGATCAAATGCTATCGATCACGTTGCAATGTGGCCACCAGTCTATTGCCTTATTGGTCCTAGGTCATTCTAGCCCATCTGCATGAGTCCAAAACACAATACCAGCTCCCGCAATATGAATCATGTATTTCAAACATACTCTGTTTATATACCAGTCAAGCAGACCACATCGTATCATTAAATAGAAGTAACATGTGTACATAGCCCTCCTATCACGTACACACGAACAGATGCAGATGAAGACAGCCAGTGTAGCAGCAGTCTCTGCATCAGTAGGCCTCAGCATACACAAAGGGAAAACTAAGGTCCTCAAATTCAAAGCGGAGAACAGCAATCCAATCAATCTTGATGGCGAAACTCTGGAAGATGTAGAATCCTTCACATACCTGGGAAGTATCATCGATGAACAAGGAGGTTCAGATGCAGACGTAAAGTCGAGGATTGGCAAAGCAAGGGTCGCATTCCTACAATTGAAGAACATATGGAACTCAAAACAACTGTCTATCAACCAATATCAAAGTAAGAATCTTCAATACGAACGTCAGAACAGTCAGTTCTACTGTACGGAGCTGAAACTTGGAGAACTACAACAACCACAATCAAGAAAGTACAAGTATTTATAAATAGTTGTCTACGCAAGATACTCAACATCCATTGACCGGATACCGTCAGCAATAGCCTTTTGTGGGAGAGAACAAACCAACTTCCAGGTGAAGAGGAAATTAGGAAATTAGGATGGAAATGGATAAGACATCATTACGCAAATCATCGAAGTGAATCACGAGGCAAGCTCTAACATGGAATCCTGAAGGGAAACGGAAAGGAGGAAGGCCAAAGAAGACATTACGTCTGGAAACAGTGGCAGATATGAAAACGATGAATTACAACTGGACGGAGCTAGAAAGGATTGCCCAGGACAGGGTTGGATGGAGAATGCTGGTGAGCGGCCTACGCTCCTTCACGAGGAGTAACAGGCGTAAGTAAGTAAGTAAGTAACATGTGTACATAAATAAGCCAAAAAGTGGCTGTGAACGCGGGAGGTAGTAATTAATAGACTGGACATAGATTAAGAACTGTAAATCGTATAATAATAAATTATAGATCAAAATAAAGCTTTTGCTAAGGGGAATATAAATATACATAATGTATTATAGAATGTTAGTCCATTAATAGTCCTCGGGAGTTACCTGTAATTTAATCTTCACTGGGATATAACAAAAGATGACAAATTAGTAGTCACGGGTTTATTGTACATTAAAACTAAGGTTCGTTGTTAAAAAGTTGTCTTGACCGATGATCCTGGAATACTTTGTTATTTTTAAATACATTGATTACTTTAGTAGGTTAACCTCAGGTCATGTAATTGGTTGATTTTGTTCTTATAGGTTGACCAATCGGATCTAACTGAATAAGTCTTAATTGTAGATTAACTCACTGATGACAATGGTGGATGCGCCGCTCAATTTCGTGGATTAGTTGGAGTAAGACATTAACACCGTTAGATGCCGGCACAGTGGTCTAGTGGTTAAGCGGTCGCGCGCGAGACCGATAGGCTCTGGGTTCGAATCTTGCGAGCGGGATCGTGGATGCGCACCGATGAGGAGTCCCACAATAGAACGAAATGGCCGTCCAGTGCTTCCATTTTTCCAACGGTGGTCTAACATAAGTCGGTTCATGATCTCAATCACAAACTCAATTATTCATCTAGTTATGATATTCATTACATTTAGAGTGTTGACAAGTTGTTATCATAAACAAGGTCTTTAAAAACAAGCAAATTGAAGCTAAGATTATTAATATTATGAAGTAATGAGTTTATTTGTAATAATTTGCAATTTATTAAAGATATTTAAACAATATCAAATGAAGTACTTAGTTAAATTAATGATTATAACAATTAAACAATATAGAATAGAATCTATTCTACCTGCTCCATTATTTAATAACCATTTAACTAAATCTGTATATCCATATTCCACTGAATAATGTAATATTCTATTAGTCATATTGTCAGATGAATTTAAAGGGATTGAATCATTTTGGATTGTATAGATAATATCTTCATACTGAAGTATCAAGTATAGGAATAACAACGACAACAACAAAAAAACAAGGAAAAGAAAAAGAAAGCATTTATGAAAAAGAAGTATTTTTAAAGTAAAATAAATAGAAATTTATCGAATGTTTACGGTTATACTCTATTCATATTTATCTATGATGTTACACTTTGTTTATTAAATAGGAATCAGTACCAATGAGAAAACAACTACTTAGAGCCTTCAAAATCGTGTTAAGGTATAAATGTTGTAAGAACGAAAAACTGTCAGATAAATGAGTTTTCATGATACTTTAAAAGATAACTATAATTCACAATGAAGATGATTACTTTCAGTGAATGATTATCAAGTAGCAATCTGTCTACTGTATGTTCAATCCGTATTGATAAAAGAGTTCTATGTATCAATTCACGTTGCAACTACCAGTCTAAGTGACTTGACAATGTTTACACTATATTTGAATAGTAGACGGTTGAAGATAATCAATAGAGAATTGTGATTTTCATCAATAAGGTGTAACTATGATCTTGAAGAAAATGATGTTTTATACAAGTTTCAAACTTACATCACTAAATTTCTTATTCACAAACTTTATCATCAAATTATTCTGCCTGAAAGTAATGTCTTCAGTAAAAGTAAGAAGCTTTTGATATATTCCTTGAGATATCACTAGAAAATACTTACTTATGTCAAGGCGTTTACTACTAATTATGGGTCAAGTAACTTAAGAATGTTATATTTCCTAAATGGTGTTTTAATATAACTCAACATTTATGTTATTAACTCATTCAATGTCAAGGCAGAAACATAATTACATTGACTTTAATACCAATTATCACTTGTCAATAAAAATAGACTAACAAAAAGGATAAATTTCAATTAATTCATTTAACTTAACTAATCAACATCATAGTAGTGATATAATCAACTCAATTATATGAATAAAATAGATGGGAAATGAATATCATCCATTTACAGTATATGAAGTATTTTCTATATTACTCAACGAAATCATCATAGATAACTAGACTTGTTAGAGAGTATTCAATAATTATATCGTTTTTTTAAAACATAAAACTAGTCCCCTCTGATTTAGTTCATTACTAGTCTGATATAAAGTTATATAATGAATGAAAACATTTAAAGAGACTACTTTTTTTCCTAACACAAATGCATCATAAACAAAGATGGATAGTGGCTAGCAGTGGAATCCAGGACGCGCGTTTCGTCTTGTTTGGGACTCGTCAGCTGGATGTACCTGCATCTCAGAGTTGATGTTCACTCTGGGACTCGAACTCAGTATCGTTCGCTTCAAACACCATCGCACAGTATACACATATGCCAATAACAGACTGGTCAATTTCAGTCCTAAAACATCAATGGGAAGATTCAAGTACAACAATATCAAGTGAACAAATGCATCATAGTTTGTCAAGCACAGATTTATGGAATGTAGAGTCGAATCTCGTGACCTTCATGGATGTAAGAATATATTCCCAGTACGAATATTACCAATATTACAATATTCATTGATTGGTAACAGTCTAAAGTTTGATATTTAGAAAAGTCTCATTGATCAGTATTATGCTTACAAATAAATGAATTAATTAAATTCACTTGGTATTGTTCATTTGAATCTTCCCATCGATGTTTAGGACTGTAATTGATCAATCTCTTATTGACATATGTGTATACTTTGTGTATTGCAATGATATTGCACATATTTCAATAAGAGACTGATCAACTGAAGTCCTAAATATCAATGGGAAGATTCGAGTGAACAATACCAAGTGAATTTAGACTTCATCGCATTGCTCAAGCAAGTGGCTGTAAGGACTTATTAGCTAAGTGCATAACGTGATGGCGTTTGAAACGAACGGTACTGGGTTCGAGTCCTGGGGCGGAAATCAACTCTGAGATGCAGGCACATCCATCTGACGGGTCCGGAATTCGACGAAACGCGTGTCCTGGATTTCTCTGCTAGTCATTATCCGTCATTGTTTATAATGAATTAATTAATTTATACTTTTCAATACAATTCAGTTTGTATTAATAATACCAATAAAACTACCAGAATTAACACATGAGAAAATGATGTGAACAGAGAAACAAAGGAGCCATAACAAACAACGGAAGCTATTTTCGGGGATGATATTTCACTTAATTCAAAGCTTGTAAAACGTCGACATTTAGGCTTGTCCCTAGTTTATTCTATAAACCATAAGCTTTCGTTTGATGCATGATTCATTGTCATACCCCTTTTTGTTCCAAGGTTATTGTAATTTAAACGTAATCTTTCGTACTTTATTTTCTACACTAATCTCCAGTTTCGGACAATTGTATTTTCCTAATTGTTTGTGCGTTGTGGTTATGTTAGTTATCTATTTATTCATATATCTTTTTATACCAATCTGAATCAGTGTAATCGGAGTTGGAATCGGAATAGGGAGTAAGTCGAGGAGTGTTCCAGCTGACGCGTCTTCTCTCTCTTGCTTGTCAACCAATCAAGTGATAGAAACGTTTTCGTCTCTTTACCCAAGGCAGGTAGTCTCGATTCGGGTTCACTCGTCTCAAGCCTCAAGGTTAAATCAGTTAGCCTATCATTCAAGGACTTAATCCAGATAGAGACAAGTTCTCTCCTGTATATTATCTGGTAGATAGATCAAGTACGTGACAAAAAATTAAGAATATACACAAATATGTAAACTTTTTCTTAGTTGTCTTCAACGAAAAAGAGACGTCAAAATTCAATAGTTTATAAGATACGAAATAAATTTAATAGAAATATCAGTCGGGTTTCCGCTAACCTTAGACAATTCATTATCTTTTAAATATTTCAAACTTTGCAGTCGATCATCACTAGTCAGTTGGATTTCTGGAATATTTGAATTAACTAGGTCAGTTATCCTTCCATTCGGATCTGTCGCAGAAATTGTGGTTAGTTTTGTAGAGTTTCGCTTTGAATTCAAGGATGATCTTAATTTATTTAAAAAATTGTAGAAATGATCTTGAAATTTGTAAATTTTCAATTCTTCCGGAATAATGTTCAGATAAGAATAGTTAGTTGTTTTTGATTCAATATAATCAAACCAATTGTTTTTACTTGATGAAATCATCAATTTATTGGTAAAATTGTGCTAAAGAGAAAAAAAATCAATACAGTTTCATTTGAGATGTTATATTTGCTCATACAGTTTATGAAATTACAAAATGACTGTCATCGCGAACTTGAAGGTTTAGTGGCCTTATATCTGACTCCAATTGGATTGTATGCTGATTGTCATCGAAATACACATGTCGGCTATCCTCGTATAAAACTATCGACTTAATCTGCCTTATTGTATAAAGGAATTAAATAAGTCAAATACGAGAATGGATTTCTGAATTCGTATATTTCGTACAATTGTTGGTCGAGACAAACGATTGAAGAAACGAGGCGAAGAGAAGAAATCGAAACAAAATGACACGCAGTGGAAAAGGCGTGCAAGCCAACTGTGAGTTTAGTTGGAAGACGGGCTCACCGCTTTAGTGACCCTGAATCTGACCTAATTAGATCGTACGTTTGATTGGTATTGAAATATGCATATCATCAACCCTCGTATATTATTACGGACTTAGATCGCGTTAGTGAATTGATTTTCGAGTACATATATTTTGTACACTCATTGATCTGGGCAGGCAGTCAAAGGGCCGAAGCAAAGGAAGCGAAGAAGAGAGAGCGGAGCGAAATGAAAGAACTCGCAGTGGAGTTAGCTTACCAGCTATCAATTACTTTATCCTAGTTTAGTATCCCCAGCTTTTGACATACATGCCACTCTGAACCAAGTCAAAAATGTTAAACTCTGAATTTCTTAAACAGAACGATGATTTTATATCATTAAATCCAGTAATTTATATTTTTAACTTTCTCCAATAGTTCCCTAAGTAAGATTTGTGAATCTCGTATTAGTTGACATTGTTGTCAAGTTTTGCTATTTCATAAATTAGAATTGGTGTTTTTAATGGTGACAAATCATTAATAAATGACTAGTTGTAATATTTATACGCTGTGAAAAACATCCTCTTTAGTACAGTAAAATAGTTAGAATAAGGACTGTGTTTCTTATTTATCGTTTAAAGATTAGGAACTTCTATTTTTTAAATCAATTTCCCCACTTGTCAATTAAAACTAACTAAAACTCAACCACTTAAACTCAAATAAAACGGAATCTGTAATGATAAAATCATATTATCAATTATCTAGGTGCTTCCAGGTTGGTCTAGCTTTAATCGACTGATGAATTCAAACATTAAAGTATTACAATTTCTACAAACCCTTATTCTGACAATAAACATCATGTGCTTACTAGAGACTGGCTTCAAGATGTGTTACCTGAAGTTCTAGTGAGTAGACGTGGCCAATGGAGTTCAACCGTGTCTGTTGTGAGTCAGTTACTAACTGAAAACAATGATGGACGGTGGCGCAAAATCTTGGATTGGTTGAAGTTAGACAATAACACGAGAATGGTGACAGGTTTGCAAATTTATGTGAATTCAACGAAATGGTTATAGGCGGCATTATACTCTTCAACAAATGCATTAAAAAAACTAAATGGGTCTCACCGGACCATACTCTAGAGAACCAGATCAATCATATTTGCATCAGCAAAAAATTCAGATTAATGGAAGACGTGTTAACAAATAGAGGAGCTGACATAGCTTCTGATCACCGCCTGGCTATGGTCAAGATGAAACTGAAGCTGAAGAAACACAAGACAACTAAAGAAAAAGCATTAAAAAGGTTCAAAACACTCAATAAATTTACACTAACAGATTCTAAGCCTTACAAGATCTACTCGGAGTGAGAGAAGCTAATATGGCGAACAACCGGAAAGGAATTGGAGGAGCATTGATTTCGACATGCCAGAAGGTTATGGGCCAAAAAACACTATCATAAAGAAAGAATCGCTATCGAAACACTGCACAAGTTTCAAGAAAGCAGGAACAAGAAGACGGCAATTAAAAACAGCCGAACAAGAACACAGAAAGTCAAGGAACAAGCTGGATACACAGAAGCAAACAAGCAAAAGAAGAAGTGCATTAGAGATGACAGGCAGAAATGCGTGGAAGAACTAGCAGCGATAGAGGAAAAAGCTTCAAGAGAGGGAAATATGAGACCGTATTATGACAAAACTAAGAAACGTGCAGAGAAATATGGTAAACCAGAGATACCAGTCAAGAGTAAAGAAGGCAGGCCAATCACTGAAATTCAACAACAGCGGAACAGATGGGTAGGGTACTTCTAGGAACTCCTGAATAGACCAGCTTCATTGAATCCACCGGATATCAAAGTGGCACCTACAGACCTTCCAACAGATTTCACTCCACCAACGATAGAATAAATCACCATGACTGTCAGACAAATCCAGAGTAGGAAAGCAGGACCTGACAATATATCAGCCGAAGCATTAAATTTAGACATGGCAGTAATAGCAGGCATGCTTCACTTTCTATTCAGGAAGATTTGGGGGGAAGAACAAGTGTCGATGGACTGGAAAGAAGGACACCTCATCAAGATTCCGGAGAAAGGAGATCTGAGCAAATGTGAGAACTATAGAGGCATCACGCTACTATAGAAACCGTTACTCTAAATAAATTTCCTTGACTATGAGAAAGCATTTGAAAGTGTAGATAGAAGGACTTTATGGGAACTCCTACGAAACTCTGGTTCATCTTAGAAGATCATCAACATCATCCGGAATTCATACGATGAACTACAGTGCAAAGTTGTGCATGGAGGACAGCTGACAAATGCATTCCGAGTGAGTAACGGAATCAGACAAGGTTGTCTACTCTCCCCTTTCCTCTTTCTTCTGATGATCGACTGGATTCTGAAGACCTCGATATCTGAGGGAAAACACGGCATACAATGAACGACTCGGAATCAGTTAAAAGATTTGGACTTCGTAGTTGACCTAGCCCTCCTATCGCATGCACACGAACAAATGCAGATGAAGACTACTAGTGTAGCAGCAGCCTCTCTATCAGTAAGCTTCAACACACACAACGGCGAAAGCAAGATTCTGAAATGCAACACAAAGATCAATACCGTCACACCTGATAATGAAGCTCTACAAGAGGTGGGTAAACAGGGAGGTTCTGGTGCAAATGTAAAGGCAGAGATTGGCAATGCAAGAGGAGCATTCCTATTATTGAAGAAAAACTGCGAGTCAACATCAAAGTCATAATCTTTATGGAGATTTCAAGACAGTTCTATTGAACATAGCTGAAACCTAGAGGACCATCATCAAAAACGTACAGGTATTTATAAGCAATTATTTACAAAATAGGGGAAGACATTAGAGGTGGATAGGATACACATTGCGGAAACCACCAAACTTCATCACGAGGCAAGCGGTAACTTGGAATCCCAAACGTAAAAGGACCGGAGGAAGACCAAGGAACATAATGCTCTGAGAATTAGAGACAGACACGAGGAGAATGAATAGCAACTAGAAACAAGTGGAAGGAATTGACCAGGACAGAGTTCGATGGAGGATCCTGGTGGGTAGCCTATGCTCTTCCAAGAGTCGTAAGAGGCGTAAAAAAGTAAATTAAATAGACCAAACTGTTAACTGACGTGTACTCTTTATATTAATGATTATCCTTCGGCATGCTAGTTTCACAAAGTTTTCTTATAGAAGTGTGGTGAGTATTCATTGTTAATGTTAAGAACCAGTCATACTATTTATGACTGCAATCATTGATTAGTTAATAAAATTTTAGATTCGTTATTTCAACTGTTAGATTACTACAATCCACCATACTAATATGAATCATCTGCTCACTAGTGATTAGCTTCAAGCTATAACTCCTAGGGTTTTCGTTAGAAGGGATGACCAGTGGAGTTCAATCCAATATAATGTGTGAGACAGTTATCTACTGCAGGCAATGAATTACAAATGAGCAATAACGTGTACTGTTTGACGTTAAGAATTAACACTGTTTGGTGCCGTCTGAGTGGTCTAGAGGTCAACCGTTTGGATGCGAGACCAAAGGTTTTGGGTTCAGTCACGGCGTACGGGACCATGGGTGCGCTTATGAGGGGTCTCGTACTATGACAAAATATCCGTCAAGAGATTCCAGGTTTTCAATTATGGGCTAGCTAGGATCAGTTCGTAAATTCATCTGGGACGATACTACATTCTTCACAAATCTCCATATATTAAAATCCCTGGATCATTTATTATTATTTTTCGGCGCCACATCTTCCAAAGTAGATGATTTGATGGCAGATAATTGATTGTCTATCTTGACAACAGTATTAATTTAGATTTAGGATAATATTTAGTTTTAACTAAAAGAGCTAAACATATACAATATCATATTCTATGTTTTATTACATTCTGCACAACTTACGTTCCAGTTAATCAATCCTGTAAAATTACAAAGTAGACTCTATTTTAATTTGAAAAACAAATGAAAACATTTTAATTTCTTTTCATTGGTTATTAAAGATTTATGCTTATGATTGGCGAATATTAGAAGCGTAAAATTATTGAATGAATTAATTAATGATTTTATTTAATAGCTGAATTCATGAGTCAACTGAAGTTAGACCACCACCGAAAACCTGGAAGCACTGGACAGCAGTTTCGTCCTAGTATGGGACTCCTCAGAAATGCATATCCACGACCTCCCCTCGCAAGATTCGAGCCCAGGATCTATCGGTCTCGCACGCGAACGTCTAACCTCTAGACCACTGAGCTGGCATGTTTAACTTTAACCAATCCAAGAAATCGCGCCACCGTCCACCATTGTCTTCAGTGAGTTACTATCTCATAATAGACCCGAACAAACTCCACTGGTCACGGCTTCTTACTGGAACACCAGGAAATACCACTTGGAGACCATCACTAGTGAGCATATGGTGATTATAATCAGTGAGGGGTTTTGTGGATATTATAGTACTTTAATAGTTGAATTCATGAGTCAGCCGAAACGGCCGTCCAGTGCTCCTAGCTTTTTCATGGTGATCTAGCTTCAATTGACTGATGAATTCAACTGTTAAATTACTATAATATCCCAAAAATCCCTCACTGATTATAACTAGTGATTTGAAATATAAAAAAACTAT